ATTGCCTTGTTTGCTGGCGGCAACACGCCCTCAAACACTATTGCAACGCCTGCCAGCGGGCACGGCCCAAAGTCATCCAGGAAGCCGGTTGTCGTTGGGGTGGCATCGGCAGGAGCATAGTGCTGGCCAAGGGCACATGGTGCTGGAGGCATCTGGGGGCCAGGCAGCTTGCAGCCTTCGCCTTGCTTGATGTCGCGGCACCGGCCTGTTGCATCCAGCAATAGGTGGTAGGACGACCGTTTCGCACCCGGACAAAAAAGCGATAGCTCCGGGGCCACTCCGTGTAGCGTCAATCAATGGGAACGCCGCACGGGACATGCAGTCCGCGCTTGCAAATGGAAGCCCACGTACAAATGTTTGCGACAGTTTGCGACCATGCAGATCGCATTGCGCCAACGCTTGCGTCTCGCTTTGCCGCTCAGCTCCAATACCCGACAGACGATGCAGGCCCCGGGGACTGGCCACATGGTTGGCAGATGCACGCTTCGCGCACACGCAACACCCACTTTCGCGAGCGCGTGCTGCTAGTTCCCGTGCGATGCTTCGCTCTCAGGCGGGGCCGCATGCCGGAGCATGGCTCACAGCTATCCCCTGCGAAAGCTCCACCACCCTCCCACCGCAAGCAATGCAAGTTGCTTTGAAGCGACGCCTGCGCCTGGCACTACCGCTCTGCGCCAGTCGCTGCGGCCCCAACCCAGGGTGTGGCGAAACGGTCGACGCCCTAGGCGACCATGCCTTAGCCTGCCCCAGGACCGGTCTGCTGGCGAGACGTGCCAAGGTTGTCGAGCGTGCCTGGGTGCGCGTCGCCCGCGAGGCTGTGGGCCCCGAAGGTCAAGTCGTGCCACAGCAATGGCTCGCGCACACGACCGCCCCGGACGTACCCTCGGCAGACCGCAGGCGCCTCGACCTCGTGGTCTATGGTGCCACGGCCCACGGAGGCGCGCTCTGCTGCGATGCGACCCTGGTGTCACCCCTTACACGGACGGGTCACCCGCACCCTTGCACCGTCGAGGTTGATGGGGCCGCGATGAAAGCCGCCGAGCGTCGCAAGAGGTCCACGTATCCCGAGCTTGCGCGGGGTCCACAGAGGCTGCTGGTCCTCGGCTCGGTGATAGGTGGACGGTGGAATGAGGGGTCGCAGCGGTTCGTGCGCGACCTGGTGCGCTTGCGGGCTCTCCGCGCACCCCCTGCAGTCAGGAACGCGGCGGCCGCAGGCTGGGCGAGGCGCTGGTGGAACGCTCTTTCCGTCGCGATCCAGCTCGCAGTGGCCAGTGCTGCGCTTGGCTGCCCCTGGCCGGCTGCTCTGCAGCAGGGGCCGAGTGACGGCCCTTCCTTGGACAGTATCCACGACCTTGCAGCCAACGAGGGGCCCAGCCGCCTGCCGCTGCGGCCCTAGCCCGGGACCGTGCCGCGTAGCCGTAGTAACACGAGGAGTTGAGACGACCTTTGCAGTCGTAAAAAGGCGTGAGAAAAAAACACAAAAAAACACGTCGCCCAGTTCTCAGGCGCTTCTGCAGTCCCAGGCCGGGGCCCAGGCAGGCGCTTGGCTCCCTGCGATCCCAACAGCGCCGGCCACTATGCTACCACCTGCCGCGATGCAAATCGCATTGCGACGCCGCTTGCGGCAGCCGCTGCCTCGCACAGGCTTGCTGGCCAGACGGGCCAAGCTCGCGGAGTGGGTCCGTGTCGCGAGAGAGGCGCTGGGGGCTGAAGGGCAGGTCGTGCCACAATGGCTGGCCCACACCACGGCGCCTGGCGTGCCAGCCGCAGACCGGCGCCGCCTCGACCTGGTTGTGTACGGCGCGCTGCGCGGCGGCGCAGCCTTGTGCTATGACGCTACGCTCGTGTCCCCGTTGACACGCACGGGACACCTGCAACCTTGTGCAGCGGTGGTCGACGGGCGCGAGCTTTCGTGCGAGACCTCGTCCGCTTGAAGGCTCACCGGGCCCCGCCTGCACTCCGTGCAGCGGCGTTAGCTGGCTGGGCGAGGGGGTGGTGGGGCATGTTGTCTGTGGCGGTGCAGCAGGTCGTTGCCAGCACGGCACTGGGTGTTTGGGAGCAGCCACTGCAACCAGACACCAGCGAAGGCCCGCCGCTGGACCCTGCTCCACCACGAGGCCCTCGCCGGCCTAAGTCGCATGCCGTTGCGGCCCTGACGCGAGTAGCGTAGTGCGTAGCCTGTCAGGTAGACTAGTCAGCTGCGACCGCGGCTAGTTCGTTGGGCAGCTCGAAAAGTCTGTTTACAAATTAATACTTGCGGTGGCGACGCACCCGGATGCGGCCGTGGACCCCTTGGAGGACCATGCCGTGGCAAGCCCGCGCACGGGGCTGCTCGCGCGCACGGTCAAGATCGTCGAGCATGCTTGGGTCTTAAGCCATCGGGCCCGGAAGGCAGGTCGTCCCACAGCGGTGGCTCACACGCACGACCGCACCGAGAGTGGGTTTGGACGCCGCCGATTTGACATGGTCATCTACCGCGTAATTTGGGGAGGGGCACTGTGCTGTGACGCGACATTGATTTCTTTCGTGTTGCGAGAGGCCCGCCGCACGGACGTTCAGCGGATGAAAACGGGGCAGCGCTCGCCACGGCCACACGCCGCAAAGAGGAGCCCGGAGCTTCTGCGCAACGGTCTCTCGGCTCGGAAGTTGGGGGACGTTGGGGCACGGGAGCCTGAGCTCTCGTTCGCGACCTCGTTCGCCTCCGCCGGTTGCGCGTTCCTCCCGCTCTGCGCAATGCCGCGACTGCCGCTTGGGCTCGGCGTTGGTGGACTCGTTTGTTGGTCGCTGCTCAGAGTGCGACAGCTCTGTTGGCGGCCGGTCGGGCATGGCCAGCGGCGCCGAGCTCGTGTTTAACCTCGCCGACGTGGCGGGCCCCAGCACCCTGCCGCTTCCACGGTGAGCAGCCCGCTTGCAGGCCGAAGTAAGTGAGCGGGTCAGCCCGCTTGCAGGCCGAAGTAAGTGAGCGGGTAGACTCGCGTAACTCTGCAAGGAGACGCAGGACCCTCCCTTTCGACGAAAGGTTTGTGGAAAAACAATGATCGACGACCCTGTAGGTGACCATGCCCTAGCTTGCTCGCGGACGGTCTTGTTGGCCAGACGTGCGAGAGCGCGCCTGGGTCCGCGTGGCACGCGAGGCCGTAGGACCCGCAGGCCAGGTCGTGCCACAGCAGTGGCCCGCCCACACAACAGCTCCCGGCGTCCCAACCGAGGACCGTCGGAGCCTCGACCTTGTCGTCTACGGCGCCACAGCAGTGCCACAGCCAATGGTGGGGCACCGTGCTGCGACGCAACACTGGCGTCCCCCGTCACGAGGACAGGGCATTTGCATCCATACACAGTTGATGTGGACGGGGCGGCGCTGAAGGTCGCGGAGCGGCGCATGCTCGGCTCGGAGGAGCTCCACGGGCTCTACGAGGAGTTCACAAGCAAACAGCCAGTGGACGACCTCGGCAACGTATCCGTGAAACCACCGCTCAAGGATCCCGAGTGGGAAGCATTGAAGCGGAGGACACCTGGAAACTTCGGAACAGTGCTCAATGCTCCACAGCTGAGCACCGGAAAGCCTGACAAGCCCATCAACGCCGATGTTTCCAGCAACGGCCTGTGGATCAAGTTCGAGTGGGTGAAGCCGAAAAGACATGGCCCCGGGCCCAGCCTGCATGGGCTCCTTGCCGACGCGCGGTGGGACTCTTGGCCTCCGCCCAACAATTCGCAGTTGCAAAGGGACCTTCGTCGCGGACACGCCTGCGGATAAAAGGTGCGCGGAAAAAAATGGTCGCATAGCCTGCCCAAAGGTCGCTGCCCCCGCTACCTCAGCCAGTCGCCATCCCTCACAGAACTCGTTTGGGTTTTCGCAGGGAAGCGACGCGTGCGTGCAAGGCACGGGAGGGCGTCGTCACAACGAGTGAAGCCGTGATTGCGTGTAGCCGACGGGAGGAGCGCTTGTCACCCCCGACGTTGGAATTCTTGGTCCCGACGAACCCGTTGTTGCCCGGTACGTGCAAGGAGCATGCGGCAAGAACAGCTTCCAAGCTCGGGAATGCGCAAGTTCCTGTGAGGGTTGACCATGAGTGCATGAACCAAGACTCCCCGCAAAGCGGCGCGCATGAAGGGCGGCACCTTTTGCAACAGGTTTTGCAAATAGGACCACGGTCGTTGGCGTCAGAGCAGCCACTTGGTTGTTCGGGTGCAGTGTCGAAGTTGGTCGCGGCGTGCGCTCTGCGCTGACGGTCTGCGGCGCGGCACAGCGCCGAACCCGTCACACCCCCGAACCCGTCGCACGTTTCTTCGGCAAGTTTTTGCAGCTGCCGCGCCGTGGCCTGCCTTTGCTTGCAGCAAGGCGGATTGCGCTGGATCCTGGTGCTCTCCGGGGTGCTAGTTGAAGATCGGCACCGGCTTGATCCACACAGATTTCCAGAGAGTAGAGCTGCAACCTGGCTGCAACGTTTCGCTATGAACATGGCAGGCTGCGACGAGCTTTCTGCCATCCCGTGGTCATCATGCAGGCACATGCCTCATCGAACAAACACTGGTGGCGAGAATGGGCCAACCAAGTTTTGCTAGAAGACCTGACGCAGAACGTGTGCATGTGGTTTCATCTCCTGCGGGGCTTGGGCGGCAGGCGGATATATTTGAGCGTTGGCTGGGGAGTAGCAGCAGCAGCAAATCGTTTACGATTTGGGAGGTGGGGCGCCGTTTGTTTGGCTGATGTTTTGGTTTCAGCTGCTGCATATGCATGTTCGCGGCAGCTTTCGCAAATGTAGGGCATCTAGTGCGAGAAACTGACCGTTCTCCACCGATGTTGCTGCTGACTAGTATATATGGTTGATTAGAGGTACAAAAAAGTTTTACCACCTTCCCCATCAAATACGGTAGAAGCTTGAACAAACCCGCTTGACGAAGTTGACATAGGTCATGTCGCAAGGCATGCCGCAGCTGCAGCACATGTGCAATCAGACAAACACCAGCAGCTTGCATGCGCGTAGTTTCCGTGTTCAGCGATGCCGGGCCGCCCCAACCCGCCACCGTTGCCCGCCTGTGGTTATGTGGTCAATGCAACCAAGAAAGGCGCGGAGCACCGATGTCAACGTAAAACAGGAGCATTGGCCGCAGTCTTGCAGGTGGCCTGCCTATCAAGGTGGAGTCGCGAGCCAAGGGCAAGAAGGCCCACGAACTGAGCGAAAGCAAAGCGCCATGCACATGATGCACATGCTGGGCTTCAGGTGACGATCATCTCCGGTGTTCAAGGTGATGCACAGCTGCTTCCTCAAAGGGCTGGGCCGTGTGTGTAGGTTGGGCTTTGACAGTTGCTTCAACGAGATCGTCGTGTTGCAGTGCAGGTCTCTCGTGTCGGCACTTGGCAGCTTACTGGGCTGTGGCGGAAGCGTTTGCCATGCTGCGGGTCAAACGCAGGTGCTGGTTCAAGGCCCTGTTGGGGGTTCACAAGGTCAGGATTGGCCATCGGAAGTCACAGCTTTCAGCTTTCAAGTTGATACATATTTAAATGAAGAAGCCAGCTACTGTTTGGCGGATGTGTTCAGGAGACCAGACCGAACGCATCAGCGGTTCCTTGGAGCAGCTTGGGTGCCTCCGGGGAATGGCAAAAGCACTTCAGAAGAAGAAATCTGCTGAGGCCCGGTATTCACTCTCTTTGCTTCTTGCTTCCGACAAACACGTAGTGTCGTGGTATCCAAGTTGCAGGTCATGGCAACGCGCTTGTGTGCCTATGACAAGTTCCTCCGACAAGGAGATGACAAGCAAAGCTTGGCCCAGAAACTGCAGCATGAAGCACATGCCCCTCAGACTCTTCCCGGTGCAGAGTGTGTCTCGGTCACATCAGCATGTAAGACGATGGTGACATGATGTAACATGTAAAGCCATGCAAACGTTGGCGTGTGTGAGCATCGGAGGTTTCCGATGGCATGGTCCGTGGGTCTACTGCCGCGGCTGCTGCGAGCAAACAGATCTGAGTGATGTGTGGGAGGAGCGTCTGGATGGCACGATGGCGATGGAGTCTCTCGCCAGTTACTTGCTTGCACAGCTTCCTTCCTTCACGCCACCGTGAACCTAGAATGAGCTGAAATCCAAATTTGGTTTAACAATTGGTGTATATTGGTGTAATCGTGAAAAGTCGTGAACAGCTTTGAGGCAATCATACCCTCGACATGCCTGTGGTTTGGACGACGGCGGCTGGACTTGACGCCGTCCTTCGCAAGTTGGGGATGGTTGCCGAAGTAGGGGAGGCCGCGCAGACTTGGGGTTTGCTGTCGTCCAACGCCAGCGAAGCGTGGAAAGGCCTCACGCTGGCGGAGTACCGGCGCAAAGCAGTGGCTCCCGGGGCCAGGCTGCTGGAACACCCGGCTATGCCTTCTGGCAGGGCCAAGCCGTCAGGTGCTCCCAGTGTGAGAGCACAAAGAGCAGCCGAGAAGATACGACTGCGACCGGCAAGACCGATGAAACCTGCGCAGGAGCAAGGCCGCTTTGCCTGCCCCACATGTGGCCACAACTTTAGCTTGCGCTTGACTCTGAAGCAGCATATGATGTTGTCCCATGGTGAGAAATTGGTGGGGCCTGTCCCGAACCTCTTGAACGTCAAGGAGCAGCCAGCCCGACCGAGGGTGCCAGCGCCTCCTCGACCGCAAATCCCGCCAAAGCCAGCGACCGCCCATTCCAGCGCTGCAAATAAAGCTCCGCCAGTGAAGGGCCCATGCCCACCCTCTGGACGCGGCGCGGCACAGGAACGAGAAGACAGCCAGAGAGCCATGGAGTTGACACCATCTGAGCAGTGTCAGCTGGAGGAGGAGCTAGAATCGCACAGAGAGTGCCCCATATGTGCCTCGGTTTGAGTCTTTTTGATTTCTTTTGCAGTTTGTTTGCTCGGGCTTCTTCTACATTGCGAAGTCTGTCGATTTGCTTGTTTGTCCACAAGTTTGCTTGCCTCTCGGTGCAGACATCTTCATGTCCACCTTGCCCGCTAGCACACAGGATGTTCTCTTTATTTGTTGCCTGCCGGCTGACCTGGCCCCTCTCCCTCTCCCTCTCCCTCTCCCTCTCCCTCTCCCTCTCCCTCTCCCTCTCCCTCTCCCTCTCCCTCTCCCTCTCGCGCTTTGTCCCTCCAGGTTTCGCATCTTGCTTGGTTTGGTTGTTTGGAGTCCACCCTAATGCCCGAGGTAAAAACTATGTTGTTGGCGAGTCCTTGCATGAGCACGTGGACAAGTGCTTGTCCACTCTGCAGGCAATTCTCTTCAGCAGTTGCCAGTAAATTGATTCGATGTTTTCAATGCATGATCATTATACACCGCACTTTCCCAACACTGTCACTTCCATTATGACTCTTGCCTCCCCCCCGAAGATCGAGAACTTAAGTCTGAGCTCACCTAGCCTCGTGCTGCCACATCTTGAGTTTACAAGTATGCATAGAGTTCCCCAACATGACGTGTCCTAAACCGGCGCGATCCTGACATCTGGTTCCTTCTCTGACTTGACCTGGCAGGCTGTCGCCGGATCATACGCCTGGACAGAGTGTCCCATTTGCGCTGTGCCTACACTGCAAAGAGGTTTGCATTGATGTTAGCTGCAAGAAGTGCAAGGTATTCGGAGAAGGAAGAAGGTTGGTTGCATGCAGTTGGGGTGAGGAGTTGCTGAGTTTGGACTTGTTGAGACCTGTCTGTTAAGACGGGCTTCGGGATCCAAGGAGCGCGTTCACCCAGATCTCCTACAGTCGCATGTGGAGCGCTGTCTCGCGAATGCCGAAGGGCAGTCCGACACTGACAGTGACTCCGACAGCATCTGTGCGGACCAAGATGCAGACGCAAGCGTGTGGAACACTTGCCCTCTCTGTGAAGTCGCTTGGGCTGCACACATATTAACAATGCAGCGTCTGTTTGGCTTACAGAGCTTTGTGTGGTATGGTAGGCGTTGGTTGCATGCCACCTGAAAAATCTGCCCAAGAAGTGCTTATGGAGTTTTCAAAATCTCCACGCATCGAGCGACTGCTGTTCTGCATTTCACGATGCTCCCGAGGAGAGTTTCCACCAGGACGTGATTGCCGCCCACGTCGAGAGCTGCATCGCTGCTTACCAGGCAGGGCCCAGCAGGGCTTGGGGCCTTCGGGTTAGGGAGGGTCAAGGCAGGGCGGTGCGCTACGGGGAACCTGGCCGGGCTCCAAAAAAAGGGAGGGTCAAGCAGATGGGACTTCAGCCCGAAAGACCGGAAGGCAAAGGCCAAAGAACCAAACCCTAAACTGCCCTGAACTCCGAACCTCAACACTCTGTGCTTTTTGCCGAAAGGTCAAGTTTGGTGTCTAAGTATGGCCCCAGTAGCTCGCCCAAAAGGCGCTTTGGATAAGCAGTCTGCAACCAAGAGCTACGCGAGAGCGTAAGCCGCAAGGCCCAAAGCCAAAAATTGCCCTAAACCCTCGGAGAGCCCTAAACCCTCTGAATCATGTAACTTCCTCTCTCCTGTTTTGGTCCTCGTAAAGGCTCTACCTACTACGTATTCCGACTGTAGCAGGGAGGAAAAAGGCCCTCAAAAAAAAAGCCCTAAATGGCCTTGAGACTTCAGGCAGCGGAGAGCCAGGAAAACTGCGCGACCGAGGAAGGCGCTTCCCTCGGCTCTTTGATCTCGAAGCCTTGGAGACCCGATCACGTAGTTTGGGAGTTTTATAATAAGGATCCTACTAATTAGGGGACTAAGTCCCCCGTTTTCGGAAACTCCCATCCAGTAGTACGTTGGGGTTTTCAGACGAGGGTCCAGGGGTTTCTATGGGGTTCTGCAGGGTCTCTCCGATGCCTTGTGGAGTAGTGTTTTACAGGCGACAACAGATCCGAAATACGGGATGATGGGAGCATGCCCGCTGCAACTGCAGGCTCACCGCCCGTGGGCCATGAAGAGCCGCTACTGCTGAGAGGCCGCTGGTTTTTAAGGTTCTTCGAGTTCCGCGCGTAAACCCTAAACTCCATAACCGCTAACCTTAGATCTGGCCTCAAACCCTAAACACTTAGCAAAAATGTTCCCACAGCCTAAATTTGGGGCTTGGGGACTTGAGAGCAAAAGGGCCAACGGCATCTTCGCACTTTCGGATTCAGTGGGGAAGAGGGTTTGAGATCCGTGACCAGGGCCTGAATGATTAGGAATGCGACTGTCAAACGCATCGTTCGGTTGTTTTGGAGTAGATGGGGGGGGGTGTTATCTACAGCAAAACCTGTCAATCTGGGGCAATCGCTGTGTTTCTGAATTCTTGCCAGCAGCCTCTTGCAGGTCTGCCGGTCTGCGGTGTGGTGCGAGACTACGACCCACGAGGCCCTTGCGTAACCCTGAGCCTTGATTTTTTGAGCCAAGTAGACTTGCACGACCGGTGCAGGCGGTGAGCTCTGCTTGCTTGACCCCTACGTGCTAAGTCCATAGAATCTTCCCTAGGTCATGAGGATCATTCTGCAGGTGTCCTTCCTGCACATGCGCTTCTTTTGGGCCTTCCTTACGTTGAGCTCCAAAGAGCCATAACACATTGCCCGTTCCATCTTCATGCTTCTTAGGATGATTTCTCTTGGGACCCCAGGCCGCCCCCCAGCCCAAAATCCAAGCATCTGTCAGGGGAGCACCAGATGGAGATGGTAGCAGGGGAGGAGTTCGCCCTAGAATGGGAGCAGCCATCCGAGGCCGGGCTCTTCCTAAGTTGGGGGTTGTGTTGTGGTGGCCCCTTCGACTTTTTGGCTTTGAGGGTTTAAGGGGGTGTTCGGGCTGAAGAGTTCACAGGTTTGGGATTCACGGTGCCTTGTCAGGAGGGCGGATACTGGGCCTGGGGTTGGCGCCTTTTCCATGGAGATGATGGCTACACACCGCTGGAGTGCGGCGTCTTGGCAGCACAGTCGCAGCTGAGCAAACTAGCTTGTACTCTTAGTCGCTCGACTTCAACATGCCAGGCTGATATAATCTCACGAACATAGTGGCACTATTATCCCCAAACCTGCCACTCGCAGGAATTCTTTGCCAACGAACCACGGCGGTTCTGTCGAGCTTCCTTTCATCACGTATCTCACGTGCAGGATATATTCCGCTGTCGCACATCAAGACCAAGTTTGGCATCAAGCAGCCCATGCTTGCGGCTCCGCCGAAGGTGGGGGAACATCCAAATACCGATACCCAATCGTACCTAATCTTTTAACTCATTTGGGCACGGTGGTTTCCTTCAGAGACTGGTCGACGGGATGCGTCAGCCCTTGCTGCCCAGGTGAGCCCGGCTGTGGAGAGCGCTTCTCCACGGCCCTTAGCACCTCGGCTGGTGCCAGCAAGAGTGACGGTTTTCTTTGAATTTGGGCCTCCATGCCGCTGAGCCTTGCAAGGCCTCAATGTGCGACGTGGAACAAGCTGTGGTTGTCACTTCTTCCGAAGGCCTGTGCTGGGATGGCAGCCTCCTCACCTGTCCCACCGAAAACGTAGAGCGGTAGGCGGTAGGCTCTTTCGGTGGCCTCGCGACAGGCGACGCACTGCCCGGGAAGATGCCCGCATCCAAAGACGAGCTTGAGATTGATGGTGGGGCGTTTGCAAACAGACTACATGAATTTCAACACAAACATGAGTCAGTCGTGCTGGCATTCAGAATCAGGTTCGGACTGCACTGGATGTTTGCGGCGATCGTAAGCACAAGAGCAACCGTTATACCGTTATACATCATCGTGACCATGGTCGGGGTCATGACCATGAGCATCATGCTGCACATTTGCGGTGCTGCTCCGGACACGCCTTGCTTGCCAGGCCTACCCGTCTGTGTGGTGGTGCGCCCGTGCCGGCCGAAGGGGCCCCACCAGCTCGAGTTTCGCGGCTGCGATTGCTGAAGCGCTGCTTTGGGTCAATCCTGGACCTTGCGTTGTGAATTCGAGACCTGGGTTCCGCCTTGGTGCAAGCAAATCCACACCGAAAAACCCTTAAATCTCCCAGCCTGGCCCATCCGAACCCTGGACCCGGACAGATGTTGCCGAGGCTTTCGGAGGGAGATGAGTTCGCGCTAGAGTGGGAGCAGCCAAGAGAGGCACCGGCAAGGGTTTCAAGCCCAAGAGCCTTCATTTAGTATAGTTTTAGTGGGTTTCAAGGGCTACAAGTAGGAATAATGAGTTCTGACCTGGCCTCTGCGAGGGCCGATGGCTCTGGCAAAGAGCTTTTTGCCTTTTCAGTGCTGAGTTGGAGTCTACAGGCTCGGGCCTGGTGCCAAGCCTCGCTTGTGAGTGTGATCGAACATAACCGTAAGCCCTTCAGGACCCCAAACTTTCCCAGTTGACGATGAGTCCCGGCGCGACCCTGGCAAAACCCGAAGATTGAATCATGGAGCCTCGCTCAGCTACAGGAGGGAGGCTACTGGGCTTGGGGCTGCCCTCTGCCAGCGAAGGCAGGATGCCACAGGCCTGGATGCTGCTATACTCTTCATTTCAGGAGCCTAGTTCGGCCACGGTCGGTTTCGATATAACCATTCCTGGGTTGACCTACAACCCAGCACATGTACGGTGCCCAGGCCGCCTTGCGATCCTCTCGCAGTGTTGCCATGAGTTCGAGAGATCCTGGTCCCCACCCGACCCTCTCTTAACGGCAAAAACCGCTTTTCTTGCCTGCTCGACAATGACATCCCTCAAGAGTACTTGCGCTTCATGCCCAAGCCGCGTAACGCTCCTCGGACTTGGCAGGCCATTGTCTGCTGGCGGCTTGCCTGACTCCATGCAGGAGGGGTGTAAGCCCCTGACACTTTGAGTCCCAATGCTCCACCATCTTCAGCCAAGCTCAGCCGCCTTGAAAGGGTCAGGCTCGTGCCAAAGCTGGTGAGGAGTAACAAGAAGCCCTCGACCCTGAATCCAGAACTCAGGCTACGTGCCACGGTCACACCTTGTCCTGAAGTCGGCGAGAGAAGCCGCAGCTGCCTGTGCTCCACTGCCGGCACAACCACCCGAGCCAGAAGCTCCCCGGGCTGAAAAGTGCAGGGAATCCAAAGTCAGTGACTGAAGCCTGTGACGCTCACGAAAATTTCAGGTTCAGATCTTTCAAAAGCCCGTGGAGGCCGTGCAGCCTGAGCCGGAGGCATCCTGGGCGCGTGTTGGATGGAGGATTTATAGTTTCTCTGACTCTAGCACCCGAGCACGACGAAAAAGCAGTAAGCCAAAAAGATCCAGCGCCAGCGCGACCCTGAACCCGAAGACTTTGCGACTGTGAGAGTCTGAGAGTCCAAACCTTAAGCCCTGTGTTGGCCCCAAGCCTATAAACCCTCTTTTGAAAGGCAAAGCAGCGAAGACGCTGGGGGCGTGCGCAGGCTCTGATGAAGCCTTTCCTTTCGGTGCTCTTGTGTGTCGGTCAAAACTCCGGTGCAGCCCCGAGTTGATTCGAGGCTTCTTGAAGCTGCCGCTCCTGAGGGAATCGCCGAAACGACCCTGTTCGTGAAGGGAGCCGCACCGCGCGATGGGCATGTCTGAAGCCAGGGGCCTAGCGTCTTTAGGCTAGGTAATTTGAGCATGTTGGTTCAAGTTGCGTGGTGCTGGCGCCCGTTGCCAAATGCGCAAACACATGAGAGATCACAGCGTCGCATTCAGCATGATGGATCCTCACTGAATGCTTAGTTTCAGAATTTTAGACGATGCGACGGAGATCTCTTGCAGATTTTCTTCCTGTCACGGCAGCAAGGGCAACGCCCTGGCTGTGAATGACAGCGGACCACTCGCTTGTGTGGTTTTCCCAGGCTCCACTGGACAGTCCGGCAGGGAGGCTTGATTTTGCCAGCTTGTGCCTGCGTGGCACGTCGGTTTCACCGGGTGGTGGCAGTGTACAGTGTATAGCGATCGCTGGGTGCCGGGTAGGAGGCCGTGATATGCGCAGCATTCCTGCGGCGCTGTGCTGCGCGCAGAGAAGGAGCTGCAGCGAAGTGCTGGCACCTACAGTACTGTCAGCTGGACTCGGGAAGGGCAAAGAAGGAAGAAGGAAGCTGAACTACACCCGCAGTCTGCAGCAGGCGGACAGGGAAGACAAGACTCCTGAGCGGGTCTCAGTCTCTTCTCAATCTTCCTGCGGCCACCGAAAGCCACCCAAAGAAGGCAGGTCCATCGCCTGTCACGTGCGGACAGCCCGCAAAAATTCCTGAGCGTCCAAACGGCAAGGGCCGATTTCCAGCACAACGTCTTTTGCAACCGGGATATTGAAGCGGTGGTGCAATAGGCCACGGGGCTACCGCGCAGCCAGGAGCTGTTCATGATGCTTGCTATCTGCTTACAGGGGTGTTTCTAGCTTCAAGTTCCGCGGTCAAATCGTGAAAACAGTAATAGTAGCAACAAGAACCTCCTGACAGTAATGAAGGTGACGACAGAAAAAGAAGAGCACGCTAGAGCAAAAGCGGTGCAGCCTCGGTATACAGTGGTGGCGTCATCGTCGTCGCCATTGTTGCGGTGGTCTGCAGGAGTACTCCTCCTTATGCGTCAGGGTAGGCTCTGCCGATCCATGGCGCAATGGCACCATTGGGCGCCTTCGTCGTCCTGTGCATGCGATTTCTGGTGGCCGCCCCAGAAGTTCCTCAGGAGGCCGCCCAAGTGGGAGCTTCGCAGCAACGCACTTCATGAGTTCATGTATCGTGAACAGCCGCTAACAGTTGTAGTGCTCCGCTTTCCGGATGGAGGTTGCAGAAGAACCATGCACGAACCCTTCCCAGAATCCCTCATGGAACAATACCAGAAAATTGAAAACAACCCTTGTGGAACCCTTAGGGGTTTTGAAGGCCATTCGGAAGCTCACGGGCGATTTGTCGCCCAACCTGTCTGCGGAATTGCCCCTCGGTGTTGAGCAGAGTTACCTTTGCGGGGATTCTTGATCCGTACAGTATACAGTTCGGGCGGCTTCTAATCTTTACGTACGACAGGGGGAACAAAAAGTCCCTGAGTTTACCGAGAAGCTCGACAAGCAGTGTATGGACCCTTTGATTGCTGAGCATGGCCAAGCTACGCATCGCAGACCGTTCCTGTTGCTGTTGGCACCTAGAGTATAGAGCTGCGCGGCTGAAGCTGAATCAAGGCAAGATCGAGTGGAGTCTGTGCTTATTTATCACTTCCGAAGCAAGCACTTCCTGGATGTTCAAGCATCGCTGCCTGGAGAGCTAGCCACGTGGCCGAAGTGGGGCTAGCGTGGAGTTGCATATTGGTCGGTAGCCGCAAGCCTTCTTTCACAACATGGCCCGAAGCCGTGAATCAAGACGTGTGAGTAAGGAGTGACACCTTTAAAGCAACAGCCGTGTCTCCACCGGAGGATTGGTCCTCGCAGCCGTCCCCTTGGCGAAGCTACCACGGCGCCCAAAGCAGCTGGGTGTGATTAGCTTCCTTGACAATACCGATGGTAATGCTTGTGCTTGTGCTGACGCTGATGCTGATGCTGCCGCCAGTGCTGCCACCGATGCCGCCGATGATGACGACTTTGGGCATGCCTGCCGTGTGCTTGTTCTGCTTGACCGTGCACCAGATACTCTTATGTGCCTGTTGAGACTCGATGCATTTGGGAGTTGCGGGCTCAGAATGTCGGGAGGGTCCTTGGGGAAGTGAGGATGCCATGGCCAGCTCCTGTGAAAACTGTTAAACAACGGAGGCAGAAATGCACTTGAACTTTGGCTCAAAGGGTGAGTTCTTGAAGTGTTGTGCATCTTGCGAATACCCACCCGTAACAGGCCTTTGTTTCTTGAGATCCTTCTTAGGATGACCATGCTAGCGGCTAGTATCACTCGCCGCGGCCACTCACTTAGGCTTATCTGTTTATCAAGATTCTGAGTATGACTCCAGTCTGACATCGACACGTTGTGATCACGAAGATGCCGATGTTAGCAGTATCATGTAAATTTTGACAATTCAGATGTTCGTTGTCTTCATAGTTTACGACTCTGGCTTTTGTAGCAGCAGTTCCTTCGATTCTGAAGAACGTGGTCGCCTTCAGGCCCACCTCTACCCTATACCCTAAACCCTAAATCCTAGTTGTGAGTGCTGAAACCCTAAATCCTAAACCCGAAACCCTAAACTCAAAACTCAACTGTTCAAGCAAGACTCCCTGCAATGCGGGCCTCGTCCTTGCTAGGTAGGAGGGAAGAACTCATATGCGGGTTTAAAGTTTTCTGTGTTTGGGCTTGAGGCACCGGAAGCCGAAAGACTCGGGAAGTGCAGCCTCAGGAGTCCAGCTTCCGCACAGCCTTGCCCCGCTGGAGGCAGGGAGTAGTACGCCGAAGTCGTACTAGGGGCAGGAGCAGCAGCAGGAGCAGCAGCAGCAGTAGCAGCAGGTAGTCGTGGTGATGGTGTTGGTAGTCATAGTCATAGCAGCAGCTTCAGTTAGGGCCAGGGCAGTATAGTGAAGGCGGCCTCCAGCCCGGTGCCGCTTTCCCTTGCGAGCACCTGAGAAGCAGAGCGAATGACTCATTCCCCTTTCTTATTCTGGGTCGGGTTTAGGGTTTAGGTTTGTGGCAAGAATAGACCATTCAGGGTGCGCCACAGCATGAACTCCGGCACCAGGCCGGGCTCAGCAATGCCAACTTGCCTAGCTCCTCGAACAATTCACGGGCGGGCCAATTTGACTATCATAAACCAGCTGTGGGGCTAAAGTCAGTATTACGTGCCTGTTGCTTTCCTGTTTGGTCTCTGGTTTATTCCACTGCCCTCGAGACTCAGCGACTGGGACATCTGGGACATTACCTCGCTCGTCAGGATTCACTCACTCCTGCTATTTCGATGCCTAGTGAATGTGCGCAAGGCCGAGCAGATTTTCCTGTAATCTTGGAGTCGAACCCAATGTTTTCAGCTCCTGCCCTAACTATCTCCCATTCTCCTACCAAGCACCCGAAAGGATCCAAGCCCGAAAAACCTAAGCCAGCCCGCAAAGGAAGCCTACCGTCACGACCAAACGCCGAGCCCCAACCCTCAACCTCACCCGTCAGGACGGAACACGGGTGCTTGAAACAAAACCCACACTTGTGGCCCGGTAGTTGCCAAGGCCTTGGAGCGTTTCTTCGCCTTGGCGCGGGCATCTCCGCCTGGAGACCTGCCTCCTCCCTCTTTGGGTTTCAGGTTTAGGCCAGGCGCCAAGTTTTAGGTTGGTAATTGCTAAAGGTTCTGGGGCTCTGAAGGTGAAAGAATCCTGAGGGAACTCGAGCATCCTTGGTGGCACCCGTAATTTTCTGAACCTGCAATGACTAGTACATGCATCCGAGTTTGCCGGAGAGAGCCGAGGGCGTGGATACGTTCCGTAGACGAAAGCCTGCGGTCATGTTTGTCTGTGGTCGTGTAGCTGTCGGCAGAACGCTTTATCTGCCTCGAACCGCTGCGACGACTGTTCAACTGGGCCTCCTGTAGTTGGAGCGACTCATCGGATACTGTACATATCGGCTTGAACACGTTCCATGCAACCTTATCGGAAAATTGCCTTTCCAAACAGGACGCTTACAAGTAGAGTCCAAAGTTCCGTTGGCTTTGAGATAAGGAAGAGCTATGATGGGCTGCATATGCCGCATGGCGTTACACGGTGGGGGTTTAGGTTGGCAAGCGACTTGCCAGCGCGACTGCTTTGCTTTCCAAATTAAATGTTATCCCCTGCCATCTAGCTCTCTGGATCATCTGTAGCAGGCGGCCTAAACGTGTAAGGCCAGCCTGAACACCAGTCACTAGACGCTCGACGAAGGGTGTCAAGGGTTGAGGGCGTCCTGCCAGCTGTGCTGGATCGGATCTTCACCGATCCCAGGGTCTGATTTAGAGACCCGGCCGAGACAAGGTGGGCTTTGCGCGTGATGCCTTCTTCTGGCAACCTGCAGACGACTGAGTTTCACGTGCCCCTTCTCTGTTGCGATTTCGTGCTTTGGTCCTTCAGGGTCTCTTCGGCAAAGATTCAGTTTGCGATCCTGCCTCTGCCTGCCTCATTCAATTTGCCCAAAACCAGGTGGTGCTGCCGCCGCTCGATGGGCTCGCAGCAGTAGCAGCGGTGAAGCACGGCAGCAAGAGCAGGGACGGCGACTTGTCCCTCGCCCATTCCTGACTTCTCTGCAAGTGCAACATGTCCTTTTTGGAGGTATCACTTCCAGCCTGAGATGCATGCCTTGGAGTTCCGGCTGCCGGCGCCCAACGAGCTCTTGGAGCGGCAAAGGAGTTCGCACACAAAGTTTGTGTTGGGGATGCCAGTCCATTTCAAAGTGCATTCAAAGAGAGTGGCGGAGGAATCCGGTTTTCATTGTGGCCAACCTCAAAGTCAGGACAGCAATTCGCCCTCTTACATTGGCTTCGAAAGTGCCAGTCCCGGCTGTGTGAAATAAGGTTCGTGACTGCTGCGGATGGATCTGCGGGCTTCCTGGTGGCGCTGACCTCGCTGTGCATCCGTGCCTTGGTTCCCAGATCCCGGCCTGTTGCAGTAAGAAAATAGGGTTCCGTTAAAGGGTTCCTTTTTGGGGTTCCTGCGAGGGGTTCCTCTGAGGGGTGCTATGAGAAGAAGCCGGATTGGAGCACAGTGGAAGACCCCAAGTTTGGAAGCCCATTGAGGGACCTCGTCTGGATTGTCCAAGCTGCGAGAGCGTAAACCATACAGGTGTCAGTATGATGAGAGTTCCCATGATTCATGCATCAGTCTTCTGTGAACCCGAAGCTGCTTCGTGATGCTGCGGGTGCCGATGAGGCGAAGCTTGGAAGTATGGGGAGCGGGCGCTTCGCTCCTGCCACTTGCGCCTGGGCAGAAAAGGTTGGAAGAGCGGGAGGTAGATGGACAGATCGGGTGGGTGGGGTCTCGGCTCTCTCTCTCTCTCTCTCTCTCTCGCTCTCTCGCTCTCTCGCTCTCGCTCTCGCTCGCTCTCTGCAAAAACGTGCATGGTATCTGTGCACGTATTCATATGACGAAGTACTTCCAGACAGAAGACTGAGACCCTCGGCCGGGATTGGAACCGCAAAGAAGTCCAGCTTTCTGGGTGTCAAAAAGAACCTCAGACTTGAAGTCGCGAGTCCACCCCACCTTGCAATGACGCAAGACCTGCACTGGTTCTGGCACTCAGGAACCTCGGCCACGCCGTGGCAGCCCTGGATGCAGCCTGCAACGTCTTCGGCTGGAGCTTAGAGGAAGGTGCCTTTCAAGGGAGCGAGGCATCGGCGCTTAGGTCCTTAGGTTAGCTTGCGGTGCAGATTCGTTTTTGTGACGCGGGGCAAACAGGAGTCGTTTGCCTCGGCTTTACAATGAGCTGTCGAGATGCCAAAGCTCCCGGAGTTTCCACTTCAGGCAACTGCTGATGAGTTGCAGGCATCTGAAACCTGAATTCGAAAAAGCACCCTGACCCTTCAGTTTTGTTGAGATGCAGGGCTGAAGGGTCCCAGGGCCGTGAGCTAAGAGTCAGATGCGTTCAAGCATTCGGTCCTTGCAAAAAAGAGCCATCAAGAAAGCTTCGGACGCCTACTTAGAAACAGCTGGTTGTCGATTGGTCCAAAGCAAGTACTTCCGAGCGACGGCTTGATGATTCTGTATGCGGGTTTGGTTGGGTGCTTCAGCGACCGTGGCTTTGATGCCAGCGACGGCTGATGCTGATGATGCTCTCCTTGTTTGGCTTGTGGGTGATTCGAACGGCGGCTGATGCTGATGATGCTGGCCTTGTTCGGCTTGTGGGTGATTCGAGCGACTGCTGATGCTGATGATGCTGGCCTTGTGTGGCGTGTGGGTTATTCGAGCAACGGCTGATGCTGATGATGTTGGCCTTGTTTGGCTTGTGGGTGATTCAAGCGACGGCTGATGCTGATGATGCTGGCCTTGTTTGGCTTGTGGGTGATTCGAGCGACGGCTGATGCTGATGATGCTGGCATTGTTCGGCTTGTCGGTGATTCGAGCGACTGCTGATGCTGATGATGCTGGCCTTGCTTGGCTTGTCGGTGATTCAACTGACGGCTGATGCTGATGATGCTCTCCTTGTTTTGAGTCGAACGGCGGCTGATGGTGATGATGCTCTCCTTGTTTGGCTTGTGGGTGATTCGAACGGCGGCCGACGCTGATGATGCTGGCCGTGTTGACCTGTGGGTGATTCGAGCGACTGCTGATGCTGATGATGCTGGCCGTGTTTGACTTGTGGGTGATTCGAGCGACTGCTGATGCTGTTGATGCTGGCCTTGTTCGGTTTGTGGGTTATTCGAGTAACGGCTGATGCTGATGATGTTGGCTTTGTTTGGCTTGTGGGTGATTGGAGGGGCGGCTGATGCTGATGATGCTGGCCTTGTTTGGCCTGTGCGTGACTCGAGCTACGGCTGATGCTGATGATGCTGGCCTTGTTTGGCCTGTGTGTGACTCGAGCTACGGCTGATACTGATGATGTTGGTCTTGTTTGATGCTGGCCGTGTTTTTTTGGCTTGTGGGTGATCCGAGCAACGCCTGATGCTGCTGATGCTGGCCTTGTTTGGCTTGTCGGTGATTTCAACTGACGGCTGATGCTGATGATGCTTGCCTTGTTCGGTTTGTGGGTGATTCGAACATGATGCTGGCCGTGTTTGACTTGTGGGTGATTCGAGCGACTGCTGATGCTGATGATGCTGGCCTTGTTTGGCTTGTGGGTGATTCGAACGGCGGCTGATGCTGATGAAGCTGGCCGTGTTTGACTTGTGGGTGATTCGAGCGACTGCTGATGCTGATGATGATGGCCTTGTTTGGCTTGTGGGTGATTCGAGCGACGGCTGATGCTCATGTTGCTGGCCTTGTTTGGCTTGTGGGTGATTCAAGCGACGGCTGATGCTGATGATGCTGGCCTTGTTTGGCTTGTGGGTGATTCGATCGATGATTAGGCCGTATTTGACTTGTGGGTGATTCGAGCGACGGCTGATGCCGGTGATGCCGTCCTTGTGCGGCTTGTGAGTGTTTCGAGGGCGTGTTCGAGTGCTGGTGATTCCAAGCTGCAGTTGATGTCGATGATGGCCTGATATCTGCCCGCAGGCCCGCCAGCACTCAATGCCGACAGCATCCTTAGGACAGAGTCTTGGCTTTGAGTTCCGTGTTGGCATGGATTCAGGACCCAAGGTCCGGCTTTCAGGTCGAAGGGCACAGAAGCCAATTCAGGACTTGTCACAATCAAACAAGTATGCGTGCACAGGCATGCACGGGTCCACGCATGCATAGACATACATTCATGTATGTACACACGCATGCACCTGTGTGTGTGTGTGTGTGCAAATGCATGCACACATGCAAACAAAAAAGCACGCATACATATGCTACCTACATACATACATGCATGCATACATACATACACGCATACACAAGCGCTTGTGCACACCTGCATGCGTGCATGCATTCATGCATTCATGCTTACATACATACATACATACATACATGATACATACATACATGTATTGGTACAAGCGGTTGTGCACTCATGCATGTGATGTTAGCTGCCGATTCCCAGCTGATGATGGCATAGAGCCTGGGTTCAAACATGCACACATGCACACATGCATGCATGCATTCATGCATTAATGCATTCATGCATTCGTGCATATTCACGCACACATGTAAACCGGCACACTTGCATGCATTTTTCGTGGGCCTTCGTGAGGTCCTCGGCCTGGGAGAGGTCGGGAGCAAAGACGAGCCGGGAGAGCGACCAGAGCTGGCGCTCTTCGTGCGTACCTCCGCGAGGTCTGTCATGGGTGTATTGTGTCAGGGCTCTGCACGAGGGTGAGCACGTGCGGGCTTTTGCTGCAGGGAAAAGATTTTTGTGGATTGGGCCAATCCCTTCGCAAGGCCTTAAAATGCCCACTCATCCTCAGTGGTTACTGAGAACTGTTCAAGGGTTCTGCTTACTGGAGAGTGCTGCTTCCAAGCTTTTGAAGGAGGGGCTCGGGGGTTTGGGGGATGCTTGGAAGCAAATGTGTCTTGGAGACTTTCGGACGCGCGGCTCTGTCGGTACTGGTGTACCAGCGCTTTCTTTTCCAGTTGGAGTAACAATGCCCTACTTCAATAACCAGAGGCGCATAATCGAGCGTAGACCAAAGACTCCAGCCACGGTCTGCCTGCACAGGGCTTCAGATGTTGGCGTCTGGCCGGCCTACCTCACGACGGAGACCATCGGGAAGTTGCACCTTTGCCTTGGAAGAGGTTGGTGCAAAGTTGACTGTGCTCTTGCCCTCTGCTTTGCTGAGGTACCGGCAAGCGCATATGGAAACTCAAGGCGTGACGTGGCCCTGAAAGCACGACTTTTTCATCTGCTCTCGGGAGGTGCTGGGTCGGTTGCCGTTTTGCTCGCTAGTAAAAATTTGCTCGCACTTTCTCGAACAGAAATGTGCTCGCCATGGCCTTCAGTCGCACCTCGGGAGACAGAGGGAAGGAGGGAAGCTGCCATGAAGCGTCAGCTGGCAAGCGCTTCCGGGCCGGATTCAATGCGACACACCCACAAGATTTTACATATACTATGATATGCTTTGATATCCCGGTTTTACAGTAAACTACTACAATATGCCGTAACACACTATAGCATGACTCTATATGCCATAATCATTGTATCCGTCTTATACTGATACTATTCTAAAAGAAAATTATACACAAGTGGTAATGTAGTTTACTACAGTTTCGTACGGTAAACTATACCGTGCTACACTATACGACAGTATCCTGTCGTGAGCTGTAAATCCGGCACCGAAGCCCCAGAGTACACCGAAGGTTCCAGCGCCCCTTCGGCCTCAGCGGCCCGCGGCGGCGCCAAGTTGGCCGGCCACCAGGTATTATAGTTTGCGTGCTAAGCATAGTATGGACAGTTTACTATATCATGGCATAGTACATCATAGTACGGTACATTTTAGTCTAACATTCTTTTTTTGAAGGTTTGCCAATGTGTGACAGATGTACAACAGAATCCAGTTAATCGAAGCTGCACTGTACATTTTCGCGCCAAGAGCCCTTGCTCGTGTTTAGGCCATGGATACTGCGCAAGAGGGTGCGGTCATGGCCTTGGTTGAGGCGCAAGTCAGGTGTTCACAAGGCTGCCGTGTTCGAGGTGTAATTAGGATGTGCGAGCCCGGGAATGCTGGAGCGTGTTTGATCAAGGTTCACCACACCCCAGCTCAAGACATCCTGAACTTTCTAAGTTCTACAAATCCAGCAAAGCGCATGGAGATTAACAAGAAGCAAAGCAAACAAAGCCGTCCGGGGAAAGGCAGCCTCGACCATCTGCAAAACTATGCACTCCTCAACCGCACTGCCCTTAACGTGTTTTATGTCTCCGGTATCTCTTACGCAGAAGACCCGATATTATTCTGCGTCGTACATCGTCCTTTTGAAGCGTTGGGTGGTGACAGCATTCTATGCACAAGGCCGTGCATCTACGTTCTATCAGCCTCCTGCCTGTACTCTGAAACCCTTAACACACATACCCCCCGACCCCCAAACCTAAACCCCTAGACCACTATATGGAGCTTTGCCTGCCTCGTGCGAGTGCGAGCGTCGAAACCCCCAGACCCAAAACCCTGCTTGAATACCAGAACAAGCTCTTGCTTGGGTTTGCCAAAGGAGGCCGGGGAGCAAGAAGAGCCCACGACCCGGGCACTGGAGCACTCGGCGCTGACGCCGGGCTCCGACTTCAAGGGGTTCCATAAAGAGCGGGTCCCTTTATTGAATTAAGTTTTGGTTCCTGACTGTTGGAGAGGAGTCGGCAGGTCCGGGTAGGTACCTTCAGCTGATCATTCCAGGATGCTGCGTTCCTACTGTAGGATTCAGGATTCAAGGTTCGGGGTGGAGGACCCGTTGATTTGTTCCGGGCCGTTAATTCTGTTTGTTTATGCATGGATGGATGGATGCATTAATGGACATACAGTTGTATACACACATAGTTACGTACATGCGCACATGGGCATGCGTGGTGAGTGCGCGCTATACCGCTGGGCCCGAAGTGTTGCCGTTTGCGTGGGACTCAGGAGGCATCTTCTCGGAGACCCGCTGTTGGAAGCAATCCTCAATCGGAGGCAGATCTTTCAGTGAGACTCTTTGACCGTACCGGAGCGAGGAGAATGAGGTGAAGTTAGGAGGTAGTGACGACATCATGTGTCAGGTTTGGCCTTTTCGTCTTGGTGTTTGGGTCTTGAGGAAGGCTCTTTAGCACTTGGCACGAGCTTCTGCGTGATAAGGGCCGGCCCCCGCCTATGGCCCTTGGGGCCTGGATGGGGCTGCAGCTGCAGGTCTGTGCTGAGGATGTCGGATGAGCAGCCCCCACTGCCTGAGGCAGACTTTCTCCGGAGTCTCGGTTCATTGGCCGTACGATGCACTTAGGCGTTGACACCAAAAACATCAGAGTCGGCTGCAGATGTCAGTAAGTCAACAGCTTCTGACGGTGTTCCTTTTCGCGGGCCGGATGAGCTGCCAAGGATTCTCCACGTGGCCTGCAGGGCCGTGCCGGAGCCACGCGCCGGGCATCTGGCGGCTGGCACGGGATCCGCGGTGCCGGGGCCATGTTGGAAGCTCTTGATCTCGAAGCTTTTGGTTGGTCTCGTTGGCTTGGTTGGATCCCCGCGACACCCCGACACGAGCCGTTTTTGCTTGTTTCTGTGTTGCGAGGGTCTATTCCGTCGGCAGGTGGTGAAGGTGGTCTTGGGACTTGGAGAGTCTGGGCTGCCCATCCTCTGCGACAGCTGTATCTAGAAGAGCAATTGAGGTGAATGTTCTACTCATGCTCCACAAGGTGCGGTTCGCCTTGCTCTGGGCATGCGAGACCCAGTGCTCCCAATCTTGAGCTTTAATTTCCGAGCCTTTACCTTAGAATTGCTTTTCCCGAGGAATCTTTCTTGGCTTTTGAAGAGACCCCACCGCAAAGCGAAGTCAGCACCAGGTTGAACCTCGAGACCCCTCGAAGCTGAGACCCTGTCTTGGGGTGCCTGTGTTCTTTCTTATGCCTATGCTCTACGCAGTAGTGGGATCCCTACAAGGTGGTCTAGATAGCTGGCAATCCCGATAATGAAACACACAAATGTATTAATAGTCAAAAAAATACTAACAGTAAAAATAGTAATACGAATAATAATCATAATAGGCATAGTAATCATAATAATCATAATAATCATAATGATAATAAGAATACTAATAACAGTAATACACACACTCATAATAATAGCAGTAAAATAAACAATAGTGATAATCATACTAAGAAGAAGAATTGATCCGGTCAATGCCGAGACCTGGCAGCGCTGGCCACCTCTACGCGAGTCGAAAGCTTCTGCCGCAGGTGGAGAGCTTCCTGCAAGGGCTCTATGTTCTGACTCGTGCCAGAGCTTCGGAGGAGGCGTCGTTGCTTTTGGGGAAAACTGGTAACTGGTGGTGCTGTGCCACATTCAGTTATCGGAAGGTTCAGCCTTTCGGGTGGGGTGTGTCGATGTGAAGTTATTAGCTTAGCACCAGCAATTGGGTGGGACGATGGCAGCGTGAACTGCTGAAGCATAGCGGGCTTTCGCGAAGTCGGCGCTTGTCTGTTAGCCGCAGATCCAGGAGCTCTTCGCTTTCGTGAAGCAGACACCGGAGCGTGTGCAGCGCACGGACGCCTGGCCAGGAGGTGATCGGATGATTTGAGGGCAAGGTTTCCTTCGAGCCAGACGGGTTGGTCCGATTTCGCATTCATCGTCTCCTCTCTTCGAACTCGAGACAAGGAGAGTGGGAGTCCTCTGGATCTGCCAGAAGGCGCGCCGGAGAATCTTGAAATTTCTCTTCGAGCTTTCGGCCTTCTAGGGTTTAGGCTGCAAGTGTGGAGTGTATGTGTGTGTGTGTGTGCTGCCTTCCCATGAATTGGGGGTGGAGTGCTTCATTTCGAGCTTCTCGCTGGGGGTGCTTTGAGACGCGGCCGGCCGCACTTGCTGTGGCCTCGATCTGGTATTTGGGAGTTTACGAAAATAGGGGGTACCTTGTTTTGGGGGTCCTTGTAATAAGGAGATCCTACTATTTAGGGTACTATAGTGGGGTGCCCTGTTTTCGGAAACTCCCATTTGGCTTCCAAGATGGAGAGCGCTCAGCCGCCAGGTAGGGGGCAAAGCCTGGAACTCGTGTAGTAACTGCGAACAACTATGAGAAGATGGTCCAAAGCAGTGGCACCTGCGGAGGCTGCGCTCTGTGGGCTCTAGCCCGCCCAGCGCCTTGGAGGGAGGAGTAAGAAGCACGCTGGTGGCGAGATCAAAGGGTTTGGTTTTAGTGAAATTGAGACTTTTGCAGACTTTCGGTTGCAGGCTGTGAGCTGCTGGTCTCTACACTTGCTTCCAACGGGAGTTAACGCTTCCGTTGTATGGATAATGCGTGGTCAGTGGTCACGACCATCGCTTCTCAGCTTGATGTGGGCGCACAATCGAAGAAGCATAATCAACATCAGCCACCGCTCGGTGCACCAACAAACGAGACGAGGCCAGCATCATCAGCATCAACAGTCGCTCGGTGTCATCAGTGCAGGCAGGCCAGGCCAGCATCATCAGCATCAGCTGTCGCATCATCAGCAAGCGGGCCAACCAGCGTCACGCACCAAACCGTAGGCTAGCATCATCAGCATCGGCCCACGAGACCGGGCCGCATCATCAGCATCAGCCGTCGCTCGGGGTCACCAATGCGGCCAGGCCAGGCCAGCATCATCAGCATCAGTGTCTTTCTGTCCGCCAACCGGCAACGATCAACATCAGACGAAGCTAGGCCAGCAGCAACAGCATTATCCATCGCTCGCATCGAAGAATCACCAACCAGGAGCATCAGCGGCAGCCGTGGCTCGGGTAACCAACAGACTGAAAACAAGCCATGCAGGAGGCAAAGAAACCATGCCTGCATCATCAACATGAGCCACCGCTCGATTCACCAACAGACGAAGCGAGGCCAGCATCACCGGCATTAGCCAACGCTTGGTGTTCATCTGGTGACCTCTTCCAAGGTCGACGTGCGCCATGCAGCGCAGATCTCCGCGTGTGGGCAGGAATCAGGGACTGACATAAAGGGCTTCATGTCAGAGTGTTCAAAGTTGCACGGCGATCCGACAGGACGTCTCTTAGATTGACCTTGATGTTCCCTGGGCCGAAACAGCTGAGGAGGTGGCGGGCGCCGGGAGCTTTGCCGCCGCATTCTTCGGCGCTTTCACCGGGTGGCGCCATCCGAGGACAATCCGGGTCACAGACCGAACGCAACGATGCAGCCATGACACTGTGGGGCCGGTTGAGCTTTATGAGAAACATTGACGCACGTGGCGAATAGGATTGTAGCAGGTCATGCCCACAGGATTTGGTTAAAACTTGTACCATCGAATGTGGCATTCGCATAGATGCCACATGGGCTCGGGGTTCTTCACGTGTGAGTTTTTCATGCCATCTTTCGATGTCCCTTCTAAATCGCTTTTGCACGTGAACCTCTTTTGACATGACCTTGGCCTCCCGCCCTCACTCCAAAGACCAATGCTTTAATATGACATGCGTCAACTCAGTCTTATGTTGTTCTGATGATTACTATGTGGGTTATGGTGATGATGGTGTTGATGATGAGAATAAACGACTAAAACCCCGGCCTGAAGCTGTGGGTGCCTGGAGTAATCAGGAGATACCTGGAGCTCCTCTGGCATGCCGGGGCGCTGGGCCATGTATTCTACTTAGCCGCGGAGGCCGGGCGAAGCTCAGGTTTCTAAGGTGGTGAGCTGGTAACCCTGACGAGCACGTGTAGCAAGTACTTGCAGGCTGGCGGTTTAGGGTTTTTTCCGGTTTAGGGTCGGCTCGAGTCCTGCGATCTGTGTGTGGACAGGCCGCAGGATTCGGCGCCACAGGTTCCTCGGCAGCACATGGTGTAGTGTCGCCTGTCTGTCTTCACTACGAGACATCGCTGCTACAACACCTCCTGCTGCTGCTGCTGCTCCTGCTGCTGCTGCTGCTGCTGCTCCTGCTGCTGCTGCTGCTGCTGCTGCTATAAACCCCTTTACCTCCGGGCCGTGCAGGCCAAACAACAAACAAGGTGTACTTGGAAAGGAATCTGATGAATAATTGTGGTGGTACTCGTCGGCTTCAGTTGAAACTGCTCAGATCGCCGGTCTCTAAGAACGCAGACCTTATATACCTGTAGAATTTCCTGGTGACATCCTTTCGAAAAAGGCAGTACCTGGACCCAAACCGGAGCTCGATTGGGTGTGGCCAGGTTGTGGGAGTGACACCGAAAAAGAGCTGAGAGCTTTGGACAGGGACCTCCAACCTTGAGGTTAGCCGATCATGCTTCCCGAAACCCTGTCCTGTTCCTGTCCCGGGTCCAGAACGGTTTTCAGAGCGTGAGAGTGATGAATCCCTAAACTCCGTGACTGCCAAGCCCTTATGCAAAGCCCCGTGCCGAAAGATTGGCCACTTTGGTGTTTGGTGTTCCGCTTTGATGTTGATGCTGTACTGTGCTATCCGTCTTGCTTAGATCTCTCGTGGCTCCTTGCCTGCCTCGTGCACGTGTGAGCGTCGACCCAAGACGAAACCATTCAGATGACAACCCACAACTTTTCATGTGCAATGCACAATATGCAATATGTAAGATCTTGTATACAGATCTATATCTGTATATCCATATCTATATCTATATCTATAAATATAAATAGATAAATAAATATAAATATAAATATAAATATAAATAAATAAATAAATAAATAAATAAATATATATATATATATATATACATTAGGAATGGGCTGCTTCATGGACGATATGGCTCTGGCCCTGCTGCGCGACCCGTGGTGCCCTGATCATTGCTGATATGGATTGCTTGCGGGATTTGCAGTCGGAGTCTTAGATGGTTTTAGGCTAAGTCTTAGGGTTTAGGGGCAGTTCGAAGAAGCCTGGATGCAAATATGGGTTTAGGATTTGAAGTCGGGGTTTTAGGGTTTAGGGCTTGATTCAAGACTTCAAGAGGCCTGGACGCAAAAAGGGCTTGAGTCAACATGATGCTTCTTCAGAAGTCCGGCCCAGCTCCAAAAAGGGCTCGGTTCAGTTCATCTACTCTTGGACGGGAAGGAGCTTGTTTCGGATTGGGGGTGCTGCGTGTTCTGGCACGGGGTCCTAGGTCCTGGAAATCCGAGACGTCGGGCTTGTTTTTCAGAATCCACGGCTCTGCGATGCAGGTCCATGGAGGCAAAGGGGGCCAGTTCTTCACAAAGCTTCTCAGCAGAGGACCCGCTCCCTCCTTCGCAGGTCGTTACGGGGTTTCCAAGGCCGGAGGGGCCTTCTTCGGACCTTGTCGTGACTTCCTTGCACAGTGGACACATTTTCCTTCTCCGATGGACCATTGAAGAACAAGGAGCAATCTACTCTCAGACGCCATCGCCTCGTTTTTCAACCTGTACGGCGAAGCCCGTGAAATCGCGAGGAAGAATGTTAGAAAGTTTAGACGCGTTTGTGCGGTTTGGCCGACGCGCCTTTCCGGAGCCTGACTGTTTCGGTAGTTTCGGTTGCATGTCATCTTGAACTGTAAAACTTGCTTGGCTCGCCCCTGCAAATTCTGCACATCCCCCAACGTCTGGAGAGAAATCCTGCACGAGAACCATCCGCATGCGAGGAATCTCAGCTCCAGGCGCCATGGGAGCGAGCTTTCGGGTGGGATCGAGTTTCGCGGAAGGGGTTTTGCAGCGCAGGGTGCTTGGGTGTGTTTGTTTGGTTGGGTCCTTGGGCTTGACTCATAAAGATGGTTTTGGTATTGGGTTTAGGATGGTGCGCAACCGTGTCGCGAGAGGGAAGACGTCGCAGGATCTAGGAGCACGGCGAGGGTTTTGCTTTATCGAGTGTGTACCATCTGTCCCATCACTCTCACCACGTCTGGTGGGCTTGGTGTCCATTCGGAATGCATCGGAAAAGCCTGCTGTGCAAGATTACAGAGACTGTTGTCATGAGACGGTTCAGAACACCCACAGGACAAGGAGGATGAAGGGGGTTTATCGGGTTCACAACATTCCGAGCATCATCCGCAAGTCCGACACCGCCCTGCCCGGCAGGTGCTCTACTTCGTGACCGTGGGCAAGGCGAGTTCTGACCCGCGGCTTCTGAGCTTTGACCCCTACCAGCATCTACAGGCTCCTGTCTGTGAGGGTTTCATGTTCCAGAACTCCGGACTTCAGCGCTAAACGCGTGTAGTTCGTCTGTTTCGGGGTATGGAACTTCTGGAAATCCTTGCAAGAACACAGAGACGGGGGTGTCTTGAGTGTGCGGAGCGCAGGAGGGCTTCTCCTACGAAGCCCTACAGGGTGGCATGGGGCGAATCTTCCAGACGACTTGACGGCGATCAGCGACCGGACGGCCGCCCTTTCAACCGTCTGCCACGAGGAGGTGAACTCAAGGAGGAATCTGAGGAATGGCTCGTCTACTCAAGATTCGCGGGCCAAGCCCCGGAAGAAAAGGCCTGGTGCGCGCCGCGCGCTGGCGGCGAGCGGCAGAGATTTGAGCTTATGAGAAAGCCCGGACAAACGGCAGAGCCTGTGGTTCCGGAAGATGACGAGAAAGTGTGGCAGATGGCCGAGGAGGCTTTGAAGCGTCATGGCCGCTTGAGTCACTTGTGCTGTTTGATGACACCTGCGAGGGAATTTCGGCCAGCTTCGCACAACAGTTTCAGATTTTGAATTCTGCGGCGGTGGCCTTTGGCCCTCACGGCCCAGGATTCTGCAATGTGTTGTGGATGCCCTGCACCGGGCGGCCAGCTGCAATCGAGTTCATTTGCTCCGAAATGTCTTGCAAGGTCAGAGGGTGCACAATGAAGATGGGTGGGAAGGACATTCCTCAGGTCGCAACGTACTGGGGAATGCACGGAGGGTCAATGTGGCTGAGGTACTTCCACGTGATGGCTGATGCAAAGGAGACACTGTCCACCAGCGGGAATGACTTGGCGGGCAGAAGATCAAACACGAGATCCTCCATGACAAGTGCTCCCAGCCAACAGCTGTGCTTTGGACGGCCATGACATTTCGCATGGCTTCAGCCAGCCAGGTCCTGGTGAGCGGATGAAGAGCAAGGGAGAGGCCGGATTGGCTGATGTGACTGATTGGAGATGGACGAGCTGGACCTCCGGGAAGCCCCTCTGGCCTATAGAGCTCCACACAATGCCGCGCTCCAGCCGCCCTCTCGTTTGCCTGTCCCTTGTGGCGGCAGGGTACGTGGCCACCTAGCTCGCAGCCTTCAGTGCTGCGCCCGCCGCACCGAAACCTCCTCGAACGCAGCTCCAGGCACGGGGAGGCGGCGAGTACGACGTCAGCGACGCGGACATTGAGTCCTTCTGCTCTTCCCTGCTGACCGGCAGTGGAGGTGACTCCCCTAAGGGAACTGTGCTCTCTGAGCTCGTGGTCAAGTTCTTTCACGGCGAGTTCACGCCCCAGGGCTTCAAGCGCTACTCCGAGCTTTGGAAAGGTCCGCCCCCGGGCAGCATTGGCAAGAAGGACATCGCAGTGGGCGTCCAGGGCCTCAAAGCGCAGACGGGGAGCCGGTGCATCTTCTGCCGCTCTAGACTCTGGAAGCTGTCTTCGAAGCGGCTGCTGCCTCAGCAGCGGCGTCACCTTCCCCTGCCGAAGGAGCAGCTGCTCGTGGAGCTTGACGGAGGCACGGCTTCCTGTATGGGAGGTTCCGAGATTGTAAGGGGCACCTTTTGTTTGGGGTCCTTGTAATCAGGATCCTACTATTTAGGGGTGCTACATTGGGGTCCCCTATTCTCGGAAGCTCCCATATCGCACATGTCAGTGGCGGAATGTCAGGATCTGGAATCGCACGTGACATGCCGCTGAAAGCAAAGCATTCAGCCCGCATGGCCCACCTAGCAATTTGTGATCACGCAGCAGTTCAAAAACACAAGTCTGCTATGGACTCTCCACAAGATTGCTTATGCAAACACGCGGAACATCGCGGAACCGAGCGCCCCAGAGTCGAGCCCGGGAATTTGTGCACCTGTTCGTGATGTTTTCATTCGGTGCAGCCCACAACATATCGATCTGTTGGTTTCTGTGTGCCTCCGTCTGCGCATGTCAACGCTCAAGCCATGCCTGCCCACAGTTCGCCGACGCTCGCCGCAGGATTTTACCTTGGGGTAGGTTTGCCCGTGATCGGCCGGTATCAATCAAGTCAACAATCGTTGCGAGCATGAGCATTAGCACAGGCGGACACACGTGTGGGACTGAGGATGCGTTGTCGTGCCTGTTCCATGGAATTTCGCAGAGCACGGCTAGGCAGCAATCTGATGGTCATCATATGGCTCTTCACTGCGCTCAGTTTGATAGACATAATAAATCTCGCGACCTGTGACGATGGTTTGTTTCTGCCAAGCATTGCTCCATGCAGTGGCCGCCATGAAAAAGCCAAGTGTGAGCCGCTCAGTGGGTTGCAGTTTTTCTGACAGGATTCGGTTTCAGGATGCTTGAGCCGGGTGTTCGGCGAAGGTGGGTTGCACGTGTAATGGTAATAGGCTCACGTCGTCGTCGTTGGTGTGATCGGCGACAGCTACTTACGAGTGACCACGCGAAAAGACTAGGAATATCGTAGCAATAGCTTCGAATTATGACCATGTACAGTCCAGGCTACGCCGCACGCGTCGTGCAGAATGCGGCTGGCCTAGTAACCTAGTATATATATAAAGTTTAGGATCGGGGCTCGGGGGGCAAGCCTTCTAGTTCCCAGATGTTGCAAAGCCATCCTCACTGACTTCGGCGGGGATGATGTTGGTGTGTTGAGAGGCGTCCTTGGAAGGCAGAGGCAGTAAGAGGGGTTGGCTCCATTTCCTCTCGCCAACAACTTCGTCCTGAACGGCAACGGTGCTGTCCGAACAGCCTTTCGCGTGCCCTGCGTTGTCACATGGTGGCCGCTCCGGTGGTGCCTGAAGCCTGCTGGAGAACCTGATGGCCATCACCACGCAGGATGCAGATCTTCGGGGTTCTGCTCGAATTTTGAGAAAGTGACTCAAGTGCCCTTGCAGCTGCACTGCCCTACCAGCAGTTATCATCAGCACAGCCATAAAGCTTCGAATAGTTTATCTGATCTGACAGGAGCTTTGTTCCCGGTGAGCTCGGGATGACCTCCCGATCATCTCGAGCTCCGAAGCGGCAGAAGCTGGAGGAGGAGCCACCAGCAGGCGGATGCTTTTTTTTTTGCAAACTACCGCTGTGGTGAGGTGCATCTTGTCCCATCATTTGCACACGATCCATGCGGAAAGCACGATTCATCATGACTTCCCCTGCGTCGGCCTTGGCCTCCAAACGCTTGAATCCGCCAGTACATGGGGCAAAGCCTTCATGCCTTGTGCCTTGAAAACGTTGGAAGCTCATCAGTGGATCACACAAGGCAGGGGAAGCATTGCGGCAAGTGCTGTTGCAAAGAGCTGAATCCCGGGGAAGCGACTTCGGGACGGTCCCCTGACGATCTGGACACTGTGGTGAGTGTGCATCTCGAACCCTGAATCCCGCCAGCACAGTCGGGTCGGCAAAGTTTCGGATGGTGCCCTGAAAAATGCTAGAAGCCCTTCAGACGAGGGGGAACGATGTTGGAGTGGTGTTCCCGGTAGTGTTCCGTGTTCCTGGTGGTCTGCCGGTTGTGTCTTGGCTGTCTCCTGGTGGTGCTGGTGGTCTTGGTCTTCATCATGTTCATGGGTGCTCGATCATTGTCTATGGTGGCAGAATTCGGTGACTATAGACATGCTGGCTGCTGGCTTATAGTCAGCGGCGGAACCAGGGAAGCAAATTTCCTCAACTCAACGACTCCACACTGTGCACAGCCTTGCAATGAACGCTACAGATGCCGCAAGGTCCCATTTCTCGGCTGAATCACCTTTAGCTCACACAACGAGCAGGCAGCTACAACTACAACTACGCGGCTGCAGGCTACTCATTTCCGGGGCCGCTCGTCAGTGATTTGCAGTCCTGAACTCCGAAGTTGAGGATTCGGACTTTTCTATGTTTTCATGTTGTCCTTCGAGGTACGTTGGCTACCAGTGGCCTGCGCAACAAGCAAGCGCCTATGCTTTGCCAGCTGCGTACAGCACCCCGGCTGCTGAAAGCATCAAGCTTTTTGGGACCATGCTTTTAACAATGTTACAACTATATTGTACGTGTAGTAGAGTTATATGGTTTTTTGTAAATAAGTTGTGTAGAGTGCAGGCTGCGCGGCCAAGTTGAAAAGCCCCAAGATCAGATCTATTTAGGGTTTGGTTTGAGGGTTTCGAACATATACGGTTTAGGTTTTTGTCTCACGAGATTGGGACTATGACAAGGAGGTAGGGCCGTGCATTTTCTAGCTTTGCTCCAAGAAGGAATGGAAAGCAAGCAAGGAAGGTATTCTCGAATGCTTGTAGGGCGCGGGATACCTGTTAATGCATGTAAGTTCGCCACCTCAGAGAAGATGACCGAAAGCTTTAGGCTATGCTGCCACCTACGGTTATGGCAGCGCCTACTATGCCGCCGCTGCAGCCGCTGCCGCGGTCCAAGCGGGTGCAGGCCCGTGTTTCGCTTGGCCACGGATGTATCTTAGAGTACCTGTGGGTGTGGAAGAATCTCAGAGTTCAGAATGATGTAAGACTAGTATCCATGGCAAGCCGCCCCCAGGGAGCGGGGGAGTGGGTGACTCGTCTGCTTGTCAGGCGAGGAGACAGAGCCCGGCCCTCAGTCGTCCGGCGGAGAAGTCAGGCGTGATACCGGTAGCAGAGATGGTCAGAAAATCAGAAGACCCGAAGCTCTGAACCGGGAGCCCTCCATGTCGGAGCCTCAATGGGGGAGGTTGAGTTTTTCAGAAGGTTCTCGGGAAGAGGTCCAGATCTTGGCTTGGCCATGTATCCTCCTCCTCTAGCCTAAACGCCTATGTGAAGCTGTACAGTGACCCTGTATACGAGCCTTCATAATAACCCGCATCCGAGATTACAGCAACCCAGGTCCGGGGTCGGAAAGAAAGGAGACTACGAGAACCTGCTGCAGGAGATGAAGGCGAAGCAGGCCGAAGCAAGGGGTTCCTCTCACATCTTGGGTGTCCGCCGACGCCGAGAGTGAGGGCCCAACCCGAACCCTGAAAGAACCCCATCAACAACTGTATACCAGCCCCTGTGGAAGCAAAGGAAGCCCTGGAGGAGCCAGGTTACAGAACTGAGCAAAGCCCTTGTGACGAGGGATCGCCAGCTGCTCGTGCGGAATAACTACCAACAAAATATTCCCTAAGGGCTCCTTATCAGAATTACAGCGGAATGCACGACCAACCCCTATTCTTATCATTTTGCGGGTTGGAAAAACATGGTCTGTTGTAAGGCCCCTATATTACCCCGAGCACCGCCTGAATTTCTGTGAGGCGGCGCGCGCCGCCGGAGACTCGCAGCAGGAGGTCCAGGCCGGGACTTCTTCGGTTCTTTCGGGGCTTCTTGGGAGTTTGGGGACGTTTTGGAGCTCTGGTAGGTGTTCGTTTGGGGCAGTCTTCAGGCTTGGAGGTTTTGCAGGGTTTGGGGGGTTCCGCGCGGGAGCAAAGCAGCCTTTGGAAGCTGACAGCACAAGGACAAGAAGCGCTTCCGGCTTCCTTCGGACGGATCGGCGGATCAGTGGCGGCCCCACGGGGTTCTTCACGGCATGATCGACTCGAGTCCGTGTGTGAGAGACAGAGAGAGGGAGTTCCATCCGATTCACAGCGTCCTGCAAGCGATGTTGATTGGGGAATGTGACCTAAGTCAAGCTTCTCAACTAAACTCAAAGCTCCGACGACACATCTTGATGTCAGTGAGCCCAAGTGGAATAAGTTGGCACGTTTTTTTCAGATCACTCCATACTCTTTTTTGGAGGAGCACTTTTCGCTGTTATTCGTACGCGCTTTATTTCCTTGTTTTTGCAACCAACCCAGAGACAGCACTTTTTGGACAGAATACATATGTCGCTGAGAGTGTCCTCTTATCGCTATGGCCACATCCTCTGGATGCACTGTACTCGTTTCTCACTCCCCGCAACCCACTCAAGGTATTGGGTGGGCTTTTAAGCCAGTAGGGCCAGTAGGTTTTCGGGTTAAAAGTCTAGGGTTCGAGAGTGGGGGTTGGGGTTCTGGAGATGTACCGACGTGGCATCTCGCTCACGACCCCTCCGGAAGCCAGTTCAGGTTGCTGTGCATTGCAATCTTGCAAAACCAACCCTCAGGGGGTGAACTCCGAAACTGCCAAGCGGTAGCTCCGCACGATTGAAGGTTCGGACGCCTGGGCCGTGCCGTTTCCACTTCGCTCCGTGCGGCAGAAGGTGCCCCCAAGTGCCAAGAGCTTGGGTTTGCGCTTTTTGGGTTTGGAGTTTAGGGTTCGGCTTCACGTGGTGAGGCCTCGGGGCTTTCTCAGCCCCGAACGGAACACTCAAACCTTCCGAGCCCAAGGGGGCTAAGAGCTGACAGGCGCCACATTGCCTTTGCAGCAGCTGTGCGAGGACCAGTCCTGGATCGGATGTACACGGCACAAGGGTGTTCGAACTAGAAAGAGTGCCTGTGCTCCTTATGCAATTCGTTTTTGAGGGAACATCCCAGTGTGAGAGTGTGTGCAAGCCTGAATGGGTGTGCGCAAGAAGTATATGCGCAGCTAGCTAGCTGGCTCTCTCTCTCTCTCTCGCTCTCTCTCTCTCTCTCTCTCTCTCTCTCTCTCTCCCTCTCTCTCTCTCTGCTTCTCTCTCTCTCTCTCTCTCCCCTTCCCTCTCTGTATGCTTCTCTCTCTCTCTCTCTCTCTACTTCCCTCTGTCTCCGCTTCCCGCTCTCTGCTTCTCCCTCTCTCTCTATCTCTCTACCGTGAAGATCTGTAGCCCTGCGGCTCCCCGCATTTCGAGGCCCCACCCTGGGCCCTGTGACATTCCGCAGCACGGCAGAGCCCTGCAGGACAAGCGCGTGCACCAGGAGAGCCCTGGCTGAAGAGTCTTGGGCCTTGCCTCCGGAGTTTCAAGTGTAAAGTATGTTAAGCAAGAGTGAGCTAGTGAGAACAACTAACTAACGCCCTGAGCAATGACATAAAGCCTCCTAACCTCAATGGAACGTTACTAAAAACTTCGACTCTAGACTATTGGTTGTGAGCAGAGGGGTGTGCGGTGGTGACATTTCCTCCTGCCCTACCACGCCCCTGCCTGATAGGCGTTCCCACTAAAGGGCAACTGGCAGACCGCTCTTTCTCGTCCTTTGTGAAGTAGCAAGCAAAACCTGATAGGGGCCACGAACCCGAATGCAGACACGCGTAACGCAGATATCGCATCCTGAGAAAAACAAACATCATGACAAAACATCATGACAAGCATGACCTTGTATCATCAGCCATGCCGGCGATGCAGTACACTCACGGGATCCATGTAATGTTTAATTTTTTCGTGCATCTCGTGCAATCGTTGTGATACGATTCTCGTGCTGCCCTCATTCCTTCTCCGGGCATTTTCTTTAGGGGATGCGATATCTGCCGTCGGGACGCGCTTTCGGTGAAGTTCCCCCTTAGCTTGACGGATTCAGAACTCGCGCGACACGCGCCTTCTGTGGAGTTACCCATTAACAGCCTGTGGAATTCCCCCTTAGCTTGACGGATTCGGGACGCGCGTTCTGTGGAGTTCCCCATTAACAGCGCGAGCGTTCTGTGGAGTTCCCCCTTAGCTTGACGGATTCAAAATGCCGTCGGGACGCGCGACACGCTGCCACACCACGCCTCCTGTGGAGGTCCCCCTTAGCTTGACTGTGCGACACGCCTCGCGTCCTCTGGGGTTACCCGTAACTCGTCGGGACGCCGTCGGGACGCTGCCGGAACACGCCTCCTGTGGAGTTCCCCCTTAGCTTGACGGATTCAGAACGCCGTCGGGACGCGCGCTCTGTGGAGTTCCCCATTAACAGCGCGAGCGTCCTCTAGAGTTCCCCCTTAGCTTGACGGATCCACATCGCCGTCGGGACGCGCGACACGCTGCCACACCACGCCTCGTGTGGAGTTCCACCTTAGCTTGACTGTGCGACACGCCTCGCGTCACACGCGGACGCACGCCTCCTGTGGAGTTCCCCCTTAGCTTGACGGATTCAGAACGCCGTCGGGACGCGCGTTCTGTGGAGTTTCCCCTTAATAGCGCTGCGCGACACGCCTCGCGTCACACGCGGACGCTTCGCGAACGCTTGCGAACGCTTGCGGACGCTTGCGGACGCTTCGCGAACGCTTTAACCACGATCGCTGGTCACCTGCTGGACCCCTGGACCCCAACCTTTAAAACGGGAACCCTTCTGCAGAGCATTCGGGAAAAACGTTCAGAGTGAGTGCCAACACCCAAAACCCTGAGCCCTACCTCAACCTAAACCCTAAACCCCTAAACCCTAGCAATGCGAGAGGGAAAAACCCCTACACCCTAAACCCTAGTGTGAGCGCTGAAACCTAACCTTATGGGAAAACCCAACCTTATGGGAAGGAAGCCCCAAAAAAGGGCTCCGAGGTGGAAGGAGCTGGAGAAGAGCGGCTTGGTCAAGGCCAACAGTGGCTGCCTTAGCTTTCTTCAACACATTTCTTCCACCAGCAGACGGGGCCTGACTGCGGTGCGTACTTCGTCCCTTGAGTTGGTAGTGATCGGATGTGTGTAATTTAACTGCATACATACACACATACGTACATATATACACACGGTTACATACATAGATAGATTTACTTACATACCGTCCCAGCCGCACGTCAAGGCCAGTTGAAGACCTTCCTTTTGGAACGAGCGACATCTTTCGAGGAGCGATGGGGCCATTTTTGTGGATGTTTTTCTGGGTGTTCATTTTGGGATTTGCTATCCTGGCGACGGCGTGTGTTTCAGAGCGTGAGCAGAACAGGACTGTGGTGCCGTGCTGCCTCATGACTGTACGTTGTCGTCGAAACCGTTTGTCATCATTGAATCATGCTTATAGGAAATCAATCCTTTGTGTTGCCTGTTGATTGGAGGTGTCAAGCAGTCCTTCCGGTCAGGCGCGTGCGGTCGGTCGTGATTTCATCAGTACAGATGACCCACTGCCACCCCATGACAAGCCAGCATCCCCACATTGCCGGCACATGGAGAGCGTTGCACTCGGAATCGGTCCTGAAAAGCTAACAGGGTTGCAAAGTAGGTGCGTGTGTAGATGTAGAGCATTTTTGTGCATTGTGCATGTTTGTTTATGTATGTATGCATGCATGCACGGACGTATGGCTGTATGTATGGATGCATGTACGGATTGCATGGATCCATGGATGGATGGATGGATGGCTGGATGGATCGATGGATGGATGGCTGGATGGATGGATGGATGGATGGATGCATGCATGCATGCATGCATGGATGGATGGATGGATGGAAGTATGCATCTATGAGTATGTGAATACTTGTCTCAGTGAGCATAAGACATGAGTGTCTGACTATGTGCTGTATGCATGCTGTATGTATGTTGCAGATATATCTTGGGCACCTGAAGCTGAGGCTGGCTCGAGAGCGCAAAAGACAGAGCTTGCAACTCCCAGACGCAACTCGTCGAGTCATGGCGGCCGCCCGTGCACGCTCCAGCCTTCTCGCATCCCTCCTGGTGTCCTTCGGGCTCGTCTCCTTGGTCTTCGTGCCGGGCCCTCGTGCGGAGTCCCCATCCCTGCGGGGCCTTGCCGGAGCCGCCAGTGTGGTCGCCGCACCCGGAGTGGCCTCTGCAGCCGATGAGTACTTGAACTACAACATGACAGGGGAGTTCACACCTTTCATGGTCATCGGCTACTTCGGCTTGACCACCTTCCTCACTGCCTTTGCCTTTGGCTCCTACCTTGTCTTGACGAAGCTGAAGATCATCTGAGATGCCTGAGCCTGCACATTGAGATTCTCGATTAGCTCAGTCCAGCCCAATGTTTTTCCAGAGTAGGCTGCAGAAAGAAAGAGGTTAGAACGGACACACGGCCATGTGCCCGACAAGGCCTGCCCGGCCCGAGCATGATCGATACAAAACGACTGATGAGGATTGGAGATCTCGATAGACATAATAGTTTTGCAGCTGCAGCACTGCCTTCCGCAAGCTTTCTGCGGATGCCTCTTGATCTCTCTCGATTCGTAGGGCATGCAGTTCTGCTCCAGTTGCTACGTACATGCATCATTGAGTCTACTGTTGGATGCGCTCGGAACATTGACAGTCAGTAGCAACATTCCTCTTGCGACAGGCCACAGTGAAGCTAATCGGGGAGGCGGTGCCGGTGCCGCAAAAAAGGGTTGAAGTTCGGCAGTGTCTTGTAGACTCCAAGTCTATGTCCGGTGTCCTGGAAACGGAGAGCCCGAAAACCATAAACTCCCAACCCCTGAGCCCCGAGTCGAGCCGTACAAGTGCAGCGTTGACAGCTGCTCTAGTGAGTCTGCACGTCGCTGTTGTGATTCCATGGTCATAGTATGGGGTCTTAATCATGAGAAGCTGAGGGTACTTCTCCTCTCATCACGCGGGGAGAATGGTGTGCTTACGTCTCTTTGCGTGGCCACTTCTAGCAAGGCCGCGCCGGCCCTCGGGGAGGCCGGGTCTGCATCGGGGTGGCTGGGGCTAGGGGAGCAAGAATTGGAAACACCTAATCCCCAAGCTGTCAGATGGGGGGAGTTCAGTCACAGCCTCGGCTGCGCAAGCACATGTTCCGCTGAAAGTTCCCATGCCAATTTGCTTACCTCTGCTGTCGCTACTACAACATTGGTCCTGAACAGAACCACCGCCAGGATCATCAGTTTCATTACCATCGCCATCACCCGACCAGCGTCAGGTTCAACATCAGCACCAGCAGTAGCGTTAGCGTTATCACCATGCCCTCATCATCACCGCATTGTTCATCCGCAGCATCACATCATGTGCCGTTGTAGTCATCATCATCACCACCTCATCATCAAGTTCACATCGCCACAGTACGAATCACCGTCGTCACCATATCACCAGCACCATCAACATCATCAACATCAACACCATCAACATCATTATCATCGTGGGCTTCAACATTCAAGAGTCGTGATGATCCCTCTTGCAGGTTCCCGCCATCGATGCCTACCTAAGGAAAGCAGGAGGCTCTGAGCGCGTCTCACGCCTGTCCGTGCTCTTCGGTGTGGACGAGGCCGCCGGCAGTTGATCGCACACTATGAGATACATAGATCTGGGAGTAGGACAGTCGTTCACTTGCGCGCGATGAAAGCATGGGTGCGCGCGGTGTATGACTGCGTGCTACTGACGCGAGATTGCCCGGAGGTTTGTTTTCTCGACAGTATCCGTTTTGTTTGTAAGAACTGCTAAAGCCAGCGCAAAGACGAGTCAAAGGTTTCTGTGGATCAATCCCACGGCAGGCTGGACTTGCCCGGCATTTCTGCGTCTACGAGGCAGGCATTCAGGGTTTTAAGCCTTGTTACGAGATTTGTCGCCGGTCATGCCGTCAGCTATGACATCCGACGCTTGGCCTGGGGCCTTAACACTTCCCGTAGGTCGGTAAAGAGAGAAATAAAACGGCAAGCGATACCGGAGGAGAACGGCCGGAAGTATGCGTCGCCTGGGCACCTTGGCTGCATTTGCTGTGTCTCTGACAAAGCTTTTCGCTGATTACACCACAACTCTTCAGCTCGGTCCGGTAGTTCTTGCTTCGTCTCTCGCATCGCGGCCTCCAATGTTTCCAAACTAAACACAGCACTAGCTGGGCGTTGTGCTGGCTCCGGGGCACATAGGAGTCTCGGAGCGTCAGGAAGTCATGGGATCCTGATCACAAAGACCCCGCAAGAGGGTCCCCAGAGTTTCCCGGGCTCCTGATTCTCTGAAACAACTAACAGCCGAATTGCCAAGGAAAGCTTCCAACAGCACCCCACAGATGGGGAGCAAGACGCCCCTGGACAAGACGGCTGCTTGTCTTCCGATTTAACCCTTCAGCTGCAAGAGAGTTTCGGAAATTCGTGCCGGTCCAGTGCTCCTGGGATCAAGGAAGGGTGCGTGCGCATTTTCTTTCACGAAAAAGCCCTGCTCGTCTTGCGGCTTCGATATGAAAGGACACGGCTACGGTGGTTTCAGAGAGCTCCGTCGTCGACCGGGAGCGTGAGCTCAAGGAGCCTTGCGACAGAGCAAGTGACCAACATCTGCAGGCCAGGAGGCTACGTTGAGATGTCTCGGCTCAGTCTAGGCTTCTGTCATCATGTCCGTACCAGGATGTTTCCCGTCAGCTGCAACATGCGACAACATGCACAACCAGACAGATACATACATACATATATATATATATATATGTATATATGATATATGATATATGATATATGATATATATATATATATACATATCTGTGTGTGACGCCAACAAGCAAAGGAGCTTGAGAATCACTTGGCGGGGCTCACTCGTGCGCGCTGGCGCATCGCTAAGGCCAGGAGGTTTTGCTGTTTTGGTTCGGTGTGAAGGATTCGTCGTTTCAGTATTTCTTGATGGGAGATCAGCATGACAAAAAAGCTAAACATGGCGGTTGCCAACATGGCAGTCACGTCAGCGAGAGCATGACCGTCAACAGCACATGTGAGCTGCGTCCGAAAACCCTTGGCTTGTTTTTATTAAGCGCTGAATCTTAACATGATAAAGGAGGCGAAAAGGCCGCGCGCGCAAGGTACGCGCAAGCGCGGACCGAGGGATTCGCAAGGATGTCTTGTTGTGTGCATAATGTGTATGTATATATGTCTATATGTATGTATGTATGCATGCATGTATGTATGTATGTACAGTTGGTGAGATCTCGACACTTTCTGCCGAAGGCGAGAGAGGCTTTTCATAGCATGGATGAGTGAAGTCTTGCTCGTTCCATCCAAGATCCGAAAGCACACTCTTGTGAGACAGCTCGGCTCTTGCATTGATGCACGGTCCAGCGCAGATCCTTCACCGCGGTATTGTATGAACTCATCCAATAAACGATAGTGTAAGGTATGCTCTCGAGGTGTAAAGCGGTTGTCAGGCGGAGGTTTAGGAAAGACTGTCACACAACATCTGCATGGTGAGTTCGTAGTACCACTCCAAAAATTTCAAAACACCGGTCGAACTTGGCGCAAGGCGCACGCAAGGTGCGCGCAAGGTGTGCGCAAGCACGCAAAGCGATTTGACGGTCTTGGCCCACTCTGCTTTCGGGGATGGCTTTGACACGACTCTTCCAGAAATGGCTGAATGATGGTCAGCCTTACAACCATCTCCTGCTGCTGCGACTGTCACTGCCACTACTGCTGCCGCTTCTTCTTCTGCTGTTGCTGCTGCTACTACTAGTACTACCACTACTACTAGTACTACCACTACTCGCACATTGTGCGACCATCCTCGTCATCGTCATCATGGCAGTCATCATCATCATCACTTCACCCGCAACAAGAGCAGTCGCCGGAGCTCGCGCGAAAGCTTGCGGGGTAGTTGATTGGTTTAGCGAAGCTGTGAGTGGAAGGCAATGATCTACTGCATGGACTGCGCAGAGAGCGCCCCGATGCTGTCACGAGCTCTAGCCAAGTCCTTAGAGGACCTTGTCCAGCCAGGGCACTGGGAGTAAAGCCTTTCAAGAACAGCCAGCCGTACCCTAAAGGCCGAAAGAAACTGGAAGCCAGAAAGCTTCCATGCGTGATGCCGGCGTGCCGGGATAGAAGGCTTAGAGGTGTGGGAATGGCAGATTGCTACTGAAGGCCTCTTGTTGTAACTCCCAGTTCAAGGGATTCGTCTTACAGGAGTTGGCTTTGGGCTTTGGGCTTTCAGAAAAAAGTTTTGAATCGTCTTGGTGTAGAGCTGCACCATACGTCGCCCCAAACCCTTTCCGAATTAATGCTCACACCCCTGTATTAGAGAAGCTTGATATACTCTGAGAGACCCTCTAGAGCTCTTATAGAAATCTGAAGGAACTCTTCAAGAGGGTGCTTGTCAAAATTACGGTCCCTTTTTGGGTCCCTATTATAATACGGCACCTAATACCTAAGGGTACCCAAAAAGGGACCATAACTTTGACAACCACCCAAGAGAACTCGGCCCTGACCTTCCCCGGCTCGACGGCTCACTGGCCTTAGGGTGCAGCAGGAGATCTTCGGAGGCCCCCAGGCACCAACCTTCAACCTGCAAAGGCCGAGCCAGAAGACCCAAAGCCAGCAGCAGCGGCATTGGTACTTGTAACGGAGGTAGTATGTTGGGGGTTTAGGGTACGAGGCCTGCTGCAAAAAGGGTTTAGAGATTCTGAGCCACAAGCGTAAGTGTGGGAATTGGGAATCAAGGAGGGTCTAGGACTCTGGGCCTTAGAGGAGCCCGAGCTGACCATCGACGCCGGCCTGGCCCGGTGGCTTCGCATCGCATGTGGGTGGTTGTTCCCTTTTGGGGTACCCCAAATATTAGGTGCCGTATCATATTAAGGACCCAAAAACGGACCCTAATTTTGATAACCACCCATGTGGGTATGGATTTGGTGTGGTGTGTTGTGTATGCGACAGACAGACAGACAGCTGGCCAGGCAGGCAGGCAGGCAACACATCTACAGAATCTACAGATGCATTCCCTCACACATATACATGTAGCCTCATGTCCATGCAACTGTACGTGTGTATGGTATATATGTGCTGTACTGCGATCATGACATGTAGTAACCATTCATGCACGTGTGCATCATTGTAAACCGTATTTGGTGAAGTGTTGGAGAGGTGTTGGGTTACTTGAGTGTCGGGTTTGTCAGTAGCAGCGGCCCATAGATTTGTTTGCCAGCGCTTTGCTCCTAACCTTGTCTTGTATGTTGTTATGCTGTGATCTGGCAGCCTTCTGCAGTATGTTCCAGGGTTCGATATTACTTGATGTTGTCCTTTTGTACCAACTTTACGCTGAGAACTCGTCACCGCTTGCAAGGCACGGCGGCATATTACAAGTATCAGTGCACAATACTACTTATAGTTTCGACATGGAGTAGTAAAGCCCGAGTCTACGTGGTGGATTTTGGTGCTGCGAGTTTAGGTGACAGGGCTGAATGTTCACATATTTTGCGCTGGGGAGTGCTCGGCGTCCCCGGCCTTACCCGCACAGGGTCTTTGGACAGAGTATGCACGGTTTGTCAGGTTTCTCTGCCCAACAGGCCGTATGCACCTCAATCCCTAGCGGCCCTAGCGCGACAGCATGCTAGCGCACGACGAGTGCTGAGGATTTTCCTCATCAGCGACATCCTCCATAACTCCGCCTTGAGCAGCTCTCGTGGGGCAACTCGCTACCGGAGCAACCTGCAGCTCGATCAAACCCTGATCAAACTTGGGGTTGTTTCCAGCCTTCTATCTCTCTGTCTGTCTGTCTGCCTGTCTGTCTGTCTGTCTGTCTGTCTGTGTGTCTGTTTGTTGGCTTTATCGAGACAGAGATACACAAAAGAGAGAGAGAGAGAGAGAGAGAGAGAGAGAGAGAGAGAGAGGGAGGGCTTCCAAACCCCAAGCAAGCAAGCAAGAAGAGAGAGGGAGAGAGAGAGAGAGTGAGACCTTGCCCCAACGGAAGGAAGGAAGTGAGAGCGAGAAAGAGAGGCTTCGTAGGACCTGAGAAAGACAGCGAGAGAGACTGCATGCCTCGTAATTGCCATGCCAAGAGGAATGTGCTGTGGGGATCCGGATTTGCGTCGTGCTCTGCAGCTGTGTACTGGACCTCTGGTGGATGGCGACTCTAAGCAAATCGCCGGCCTTGATTGTTGCCTGACATCTCGAGAGTGCACAGTTCTCGGTCACCCACTGTGGGCCACGCTCAGCAAGCAGCCTCCCAACCTGCATGAGAACGCCGAAGGTTTCCAATTCCCGAAGAAGCTTTTCCTTGTGCACAGGATTTGGGACAGGAAGGCTGAGGGAAGGAATTATGCTAAATCGACAACAAATCGAAGAGTCTTGGATTCATTCGGTTTCCTGCTATTTGGTGGCCCCAAGGTTGTGGCAGCTGCTTTCAAGATTTGCAACCTCAATGTCACCCCCCTACCTCCTGAAGCCCCCGGGCCTTTCAAAAAGTGCACAGTCGCTTCTCACATTGCAATGGAGGGTATTGAACCGTAGGACCCTAAACAAGGTCTCCCGAATCTTAAGAACCAGGGCAAAAAACACAGGCCCCGTGACAATCCCTATTCTGTTCATGTATCCCTCTTCAGCCTCCATGAAACGCTTATCCAGCATCCATAGATAGCCCTCAATCGGGTACTTCTAAACTCTAAATGTAAATGTGAAGCACCCCCCCCACAGCACCTCCACAGAGTCGCAGGCAAGAGTTGCTTCCGGGGGCCTGCGAGCAGTTTGGCTTCTGGCTGCGAGGGAAAGGGAGGCAGTCGTTGAGACAGTCCCGATCTGAAGCGGCTGCTTGGACGTTGGGGACAGCAATGCTGACCTCAAGAACAACCTAAGCAGTTAAGATACCCAGCAACAATAAGCAGCAGCATCATGCCGATGATGATTGTTATTGCCATTCTGCGTGTTTCCGTCTCCCAATCCCTTAAGTCAGAGTGGCCAATGACATCGATGCCAGCATTGTGTTTGTGATTGTGGTTGCGACCTTGACGCGGAGTAGAGCCTGGGTTCAAAACGGTAAAAAGTGCGCAGAAAACACTGAAATACCCTGAAGCATGTATGCCCTGACTTTGCAATGGTCCTCATAACAGGCTCTGCCTACCAGGGAGGAAAAGGGCCCTCAAAAAAAAGGAACGCCCTGACTTCCAAAAGCCTGGTTCTGAACTCCACACCCGCAAAAGGCCCGAAACAGTTCTTCGAGTTTCGAAGATCGAGCGATTGATCCTCAAAAATTGCAAAGAAGAGCCCAAACAGGAAGCCGCTTGAAGGAACCACCTAAACGCCTAACCAATCCGAACCTGAGGCCGTTCGGCAAGTCCTCGACTGCTGGCGCGACTGGTCTCTAGGCAGTTATTGACAGATCCTATCTGGGAGTTTCCGAAAAATAGGGGACCCTAATGTAGTACCCTAAATAGTAGGATCCTCATTATAAGGACCCCCAAAAAGGTACTCCTAATTTTCGGAAACTCCCATCTTGTGTTCTCAAGAAGAAGTCGGGCCTGTCAAACCCCAGGGCTAAAGCCTAAAGCTTCAAATCCCAGGCGAGCGACGCAGCCCAAGAATTTCAAACAACACCCCGAATCCTTTAACAACTCTCTCTGACGGAACCCTTAAACGAAGTGTCTGTAAAAGGAGCCCTTTCAACCTACAGCCAACTTTCTCTAGCTGAGGGAACCCTTAAACGAAATTGCCGTAATTTCCAACTTACAACCTTCAAAGGAGCCCCTTGCGGGGTGCCTCCAAGACGAGCCCAGGTCCATCTTCCCGCCTCTGTTCCCCGCTGGACTCGAGGCGCTCCTCTTTGCGGAGATCCCGGAGGTGGGGGAATTTAAGGGTAGTGTTGAGGTTTGGGTTCTGGGTTTAGGGTTTAGTGCCTCAGTTCCTGGCATATGCGTAGTCCAGGTGTAAAAAGGGTTTAGGGTTTGGAGCTCAGGGTTCGTTTAAGAACAGTGAAGCCGAAACCCAAGACCCGAAAAACGCTGCACAAGGGTTCCTGTTAAACTGTCTTGAAGGGGCTCTGCAGGTTCGGGTTTATACGTGAGTTCAGGAGTTTGGGGTGCTCACTAAGTGATTGTGGTCAAGTATTCGTCCTGGCGGAGTCGCAGCAGGCCAGTTGCAAAAGGAGTTTGGGGGTCGGGGTTGCTTTTCTGTCAGGGCATTGCGATTATTGGCTCTGTAGACTTTACCACCCTGCAGCTTCAAAGTCTTGGGCTTTGGCTTGTGGCCCGGCTTTTCCAGTTTGGGCATGGTTGGGCTCGATGGCCTCAAAGAAGATTTCGGCTACGGGGGAGCATGGCAGACTTGTGAGGGTATTCTCCAGATTTCGATCATTTCATGCCCAGAGGCAGCTGCAGTGCTCAGCCCAGGACACCGATACGAAAGCCAAGGGTGATCAGGATCTGGAGCTCCAGGCGACTCTCTTAAAACGCGGAGGTGTTGGCTTCAAGACATATATGGGCCTAGATCATTACCACTACTATTTTGGGGGTTCCTTGTGATAAATATAGTATAATGGGCCCCATAACCCTATCTTAAATATTGAGAGCCCTGTATTAAATCTGTGTTGGTTCAGCGCTTGTCGATCAGGGATCTCCTTTTTGGCAGCCCCATGTCCGCTACAAAGGCGAAGCTGGCGCACTGGCGAGATCCAGGCTCACGGGTCTTGAGATCTGCAGTGTCCGAGTTGCAAAAGTCCCTGAAACCCATGAAGCCCATGAGGCCCTGAAGCCCTAGCCGGCTTTGGCCGCTAAATCCTGAGTCCCAAGGCCCATTGAGTCAGCTAGCACTGGCCTGGCCTGCCTTGGACTGGGCGTCGACAAGTCCCGAAGAACTAAATCTGAAGTCCTTCTTCATCGAATCCCTAAACCCTAAATGACCAATGACCTAAGGTTGGAGGAACAAACTTGGGTGGAGCTTTGCCTGCCTTGTGCGAGCATGAGAGACGAAATGGTCTAAGTCCCACAGCCCTCAGCGCCACAGCCAGACTCGAAACTCTACACAAGCTACAAACAACCCTAAACCCTAAAGCGTAAGCAAGGAAATCCCCAAGAACATAATCCTAAAGCCGTAAGCTTGCATGCGACGTGGCTGGCGGTTTATGGATGAAGAGACTGCTGGTGTGTGATAGTGACGAGGGAGTGCGCTAAGAATTTGGACATCTGCATGACAGCATGCGACCGCGGAGGGTCTGGCAGTTCACGGATGGCAAGTCTGCTGGTGTGTTAGTGATGAGGAGATGCGGACTGTTGGGAACACAGCGTGGTCACTAGGGCTAAAGGGTTGAGTCGTTAATGTTTTGCTGTCACCAATGAGTGATGGTGTGGGCCACATGTGCCTGAACGCGGACTTGGGAACCTCGCCTAGGCTTGTCCGAGTGTGAGTGCTGAAAGCCGTAAGAGGGAAAGATAATCCTCAAGCCGTAAAACAACTTAGCCAAAACAACCCCCAGAACAGAACCTCAAGAGCCCTAAGCCCTGCGAGGCACGGCCCCCCGGGCCCCCTACGCCGCGCGGCTTCGGGGCCTTGCCAATTCCACGCTTCCCGTGGCCGCTTGTGCACCTGGGACCTTACTAGGCTTGGCGGTTTTGGGTTTAGGATGCGTAGGGGTTAGGATTTGAGGGATTTTTGGGGATTTTCGGGTGAGTGTTTGTTTTTGGAGGTTTGGGGGATCACTCGTAGGTTGATACTTCGGAGTTTTTGCAGGATTTCTGTGTTTAGTGGGATGTGACAAGGCTTTGTCTTAGGACTCGGGCCGGGTGGCGGATCCTGGAGCAAAACGTCTTTGTTTTGGGGCAGAAGTAGCATTTTATGATGGCAATACATCTTTTGGGGTTCCTGATTATACATATGGTATAGTGGGCCCCAACACCCTATTCTAATTATTGCTGGTAGTCCTGATGGTTCAATTGGGCGATGAGGTGCTACGGCTGTGCCACTTTGAGCGCTTCTGGCACACTGCCGACCCTGCACGACGTCAGCGTGCGGGTATCCGATCCCCCGGCGAAGGGGAGAAGGCGCCGGCGAGGTTGCTGAGTTTCTGTGGGCAGGCTAGGTGCACTTGAAATTCCATCTCGCGTGCTATGTTCCCCTGCAGGTCTCAGACTCTAGCCTTCGTTTGACCCTCACTTCCGGATGCTGTAAACTTGTAGAGAAATCTCGCTATGCAAACATACTGTCACATACAACTACATACAGTTACATATGTTTACACATGTTCACCCACATTTGCATTCATTTACATACAGTTACATGCATTTTGCATGCATTTACATGCAGTTGAACATGCGCTTGCATGCATTGACACATGCGTTTACATGCACTCGCATAAATTTACGTACATCCACATACGTTTACGTGTTACACAATATCACATACATCTAGTTACTCATACTTACATAAAACATTTACATGCATTTGCAGTCGCTCACGTACATTTACGTGTGTACATGCATACATACAGAGACATACAGACATACAGACAGAAAGGCATACAGGCACGCAGACATACGGACATAGATGCACACAGACATACATACGTACATACATACTCATACAGAGAAGTAAAATCTCATACAGACAAGTAATGTACCGAACGCGCCTGGTATCTTCCGCTTGTGTTTTGGCATGTGGCCTTCCTCACATTGTCCCCTTGCAGGCTTGCTTGCAGAAAGAATGGGACGGCGAGTCCCTCAGTGAGGCGCGCAACGACGCCAACCCCGGAAAGTGCGAACAGGGAGTGCTTCCGAATCTCAGCACCCTGAAGCCTGAGCAGTTCCCACTTCACGAAGACCCTGACATCGTCACAAAGACTTTGAATCCCGGCTTGAACCATCTTGAACCCCTCAACTCACCACACCCGAAATCGGGATCTATGGCATCCGCGCCCCAGACCAGACACAATCGTACTGTACCAAGCTGAGCATAGGGCCTGTCTCATCACTGATGCATAAGATCTAAGCTGAATACAATTCTGATGCCTTTGATTGTTCGAAGCTTGGCGTGAAAGCTTTGTAAGCCCGAACCCAATGCACTCCCACATTCGACACCCCAGCGCTTCATACCCGGAAAAGGATGATGAGTTGGATGCGGATGGGGAGTCGTTCTCTGAGGCTCCTGGAAATCCTGTTTTTTTTGTGGGGCTCGGATCTAGCGGTTCCAGATTTGTCTGGTGTAGGTTTAGCCTTATGGAGAGGGGTTTTCGACGGATTTCTACTCTGGCGACCCGGCGTCGACATAACCGTGCGAAGTGCTGGAAGCTGGCAGGGAGTCTCTGCGCATTACTTCAATAGGCCTGTCATAGTACGGCTCTAAAAGATGAAATGAGTAAGACAGCCGGTACCCAATCTGGCCAGATTCGATATACGCGGTCATGTAGGAGTGCCCAAGTTCAAAGGGTACCAGCCCTCAGAATCTTTCCACCCCCCTTGAAGTTCGAAGAAGACGCCTCAAGATTTTTGTCACATGCGAGAACGTGTCAAGTCCCAACCGATCAGTGGGGTTTCGAGTAACTAGGAGCTTCGGCGCCAAGAAAGCTTTTCCTCTTGTTAGGTCCCTGTTTGTTGAGCCCTGTTATTGACATATGGGAGTTTCCGAAAATTAGGGGTACCCCTCTTGGGGGTCCTTATAATGAGGATCCTACTATTTGGGGTACTATATTAGGGTCCCCCATTTTCGGAAGCTCCCATATGGCATTAGCAGCGTGGCTTCTGGCCCTTCAGGCTGCATGGCCCATGCTCGGGCTCACCCAGTGGCCTCACGGCATTGGCATGGACCCAGGTGCTTCGCTCGCAATATTTACTTTGACTTTGGGGGCCTTCGCACAAGTAGGGGCTTTCTCATCATAGTAAGGGCTCCGGCTTTTTCAGTCGGGTCTTTATTGAGGATCTCAGAAACCTTCCGCTAAAGGCGCGTCAGGCAAAGGCGCTGCACAGGTTGGCCAGGATGCCCAGTTGAGTTTGAGCCATGCAAAGCACGAGAAGCTATCTAGTCGTTATCACAGGACTGCAGATCCCATGTCCCTGACCCAATCACTCTTCTTCTGATGATTTACCATTACTATTCATGGTAGGCCCTTGGCCCTGAGCTCATTCAGTGACCTTAGCCCTTGGAACCTGTGGACATCTAGCAGAACGTCGCGTAAGCGGAAGAGACCTGCAAATTCGTGATGTCCTGCTTGCTGCTTCTTCATGTCATCGGCTGGGGCCAAGCAAGGGGCGAAATGGGCCGTGGCTTCTTAAGCGCATGACTGAGGTAGAAGACACGCTTCTGCGAGAGCTGGGGGCGAAAAAGAGCTCGGCTCTGCTGGATGTGAAGAAAAGAGCACACGTAATCACTTCAATATAGGACAGTCGACCGGGATCCGAATACTTCAGTGTCGGCATGTTCTTCGAAGCTGCTACGTAGGCGATATATGCGCGCAGATACGAAGAAAAGATAGGTCGAAGAGGCCCCAAGCGGGAAGTCGGAGATGTAGCGGTGTAACGTATTCAGCATGGCGTCTAGATATGTATATCTGTGGTTATGTATGTACCGCTTTGCGTACGATGTACTGCTCGCTTGCTTGGTGTACAAAGACAGGCCAGGTTTTGCACGGTTGCCATAGAACGAGCTCAGCAGCTGTAGGCATTTTTTTGGTTTTGAGTGTGTATGTAAGTAAGTCAGTCGGCAGTAGGCATGCGTCTATGTACATATGGTGTGTAGTGCATATGTAGATCTATGTTTATGTGCGGTTGAATATGCACCCTATTCGGCCGCTGCAGTCGTCTCCAGAAGACGGAGCTAGGAAGGAGAAGACCTGTCTGACTAGATAGCCAGCTAGCTAGCTAACTACCTACGAACGAACGAATGAATGAACGAATGAACGGACTAACCAACCACTAACCAAGTAATTAACCAAGTAACCAACATATCAACCAAACAGCCACCTAACCGGCAAAAAAAAACAACCAACTAACTAGCTAGCTAACTAACTAATTAACTCTCTAACTAATTCACCCACTCACTATCTCACTAGCTCGCTAACCCACCAACTAATCAACCAACGAACCATGTAACCATCTATGTATCTGTCTCTATCTACGAACCGACCAGCTACAGGACCATTGAACCAGTCAGCTGGTTGACTATCTAGCTTGAAAACTAGCTGACCAGCAAGCTAGCAAGCAACTACCTAAGCCCTAATTCCTCACTCAGCTAGGTAGGAGGGAAAATCCGGGCGCTGAACCCCAAACCCTTTCCCCTCTCCTCCTTAAGCCCTGACTCCTAGACCGGATTCCGCGCCTCTTGCAGGCAAGCCGATGGGTTGCATTGCGGCAAACGGTAGACGGTGCAGGAAAATCGCGTCGGGTTTCAGCTCCATCCACGGTTTAGGTTTTAAGCTTGGCTGCGATTCAGGAGGTTCCGGTAGAACGGAGTTCGTTTCTGATTCTCTTTTCGGTCGCGGCCGTAGTCGCGTTCGGCTATTGAAGCATCTTCACTTTCACTCCTCTCCCCGGCTTAATCTGTGGGCCAAGGAGCTGCAAAGCCAAACAGGGCCTGTCGCGCGTGGGGTCAAGAGATTAAGGTCTCCAGTCAAAAGGCCTCTGTTGCAGAAAAGGGGTTTCTTAGGGGTTTTCAGGTTTTCCTCTCAAAGGAGCAAGCCTGGCAAGGTTCAGCTCTCTGCCTAGCACTGGATTTCCTCATCCCGGGCTTTAGGGTTGAGGGATTTTCGGGCCTGGCAAACTACCAGGCGTCCTTGTGTGTCAGGCCTGGGGTTGAGATACCTGGAAATGATCCGGTCTCATAACACTCATAACTCTACCCCCGCGAGCCCTGAACGCCTAGGCACACATGGCGGAAACCCTTGAGCCCCTAGCTCTTGAGCGCGTTCAGCTCTGGTCTCCGCATCTGCGAGCTGCTCTCGAACTCCGGCCGACCCTCGCCTAGACGGCCCTTAAGCCGGACACTATGGCATTCATCACCCTAAGCCGGGTTACCGGGGAAGGGCGCTAGCAACGCTACCCTGTAGCCAACGTCCTGGTGGGAGCAACACCAGAAGAGACCTCGAACACTAGACCTGACGTAAGGCTCTGATGGTCTCACTCCCGGGTCCCGGTTTGTACAGGGTGTGAGCTCTCTAAGCCTCGCTCCCCCCTGCTATGCGCGGCGCATGGCAGCAGCTTTGTATGGAGAGGCGCCGTGCTCGGGACGTGGGATCTGTTTCCCTGCATGGTTCGATTTTGAGTTTTGAGGGCGTTTGGCTTCAATTGGAATTGTATGTTCTAGCAGTCTAGCACTCCAGACGAGGGAAGGCCCCCAGAAGGCACATCCAAAGCCCTGAAGTGACCAGGCATGAACCGCATTGGGACTGGGAGGACTTCGCCAGGCCGCAATCCATCGCTTGTGCATGGGAGCTGCTCCTCAGCTTCCGCATCGGTTTGCCTGTGCTTGGGCCAGTACGGTCTCTGCAGAGTTGCCGCATGCTGTTACGTTTGACGGCATCCAGCCCATATCCTCGATGTTTCAGACGATGATGATAAGCGGCAGAAGTAGAAGCCGAAGAGCGAGAAAGAAGGGGCTGTTGGTAACAAGGCTGCTGCCGCTGTAGTTGCTGTAACTTCCATGGCCATAGTATGTCAGTGCTTGTGCAGACCCCTTTCCAAAAGAGCGGCTTCGAAAGTTAGAGTGGGCTCTAGGGGGTCTTCTCTGAATCAATGACAAGAGACCATAGGAATCAGCGGAATCCCACACATAGGCAAAAAGCCACGGAAGCACCAGTGTCAGGGAGCAACGGGCCCTAGGGCCGTAAACGAGTCCTCCCAAACCCTGAACCTTCGAAACCTCTCTGAGCCCAAAGACGGGGATGCCAGGTGGTGGCATGGGCGGTCCAGCTTCCAAAGCGCAGAGCAGTCGCTAGCTTCTGACTAGCCGTGACTAGCCTTTGGCCAAGGGTGACCAGGTACGGCTGATACTGATACTGTCTGCTGTACCTTTATGTCGAGTTGCGCATTTGCTTGTTGGCTTTGGTCGGTGGGCTCAATTGCTTCGTCCTGTCATTTTCCGTTCGGCCTTGCGCATGCATTCCTTTCGACGTTTTAGACTCAGCTTGGTGTGAGTGCGAGCTCCCTCGTTCATGGCCGCTGGCTTGCTTTATTGATCCAACCGTCTCATGCGACAGCTCTGCAGATTGGGGTTGGGTCTGAAGACGATGCACGCACATGCGCCGGCATCCAAAGCTGGAGATGGCGAGCAAACGCCGGCGATCCCCTACCAGCGTCCGATAGTGCTACCCGATGCCCTGGTGCCGGACTCTTTTGGGATGAACCTTTGCACTCCTCGTCTCAATGCTGGCCGCTCCACTCCAGGCATAGGTGTTACAGTCAAGCCCCAACCCCGACCCTACGAACCTTAGGACCTGGAGGGAGAAGAAAACCCCTAAACCCTGTCTACTCCCCCCAGTGAAGTTTCACACATCCGAACCACATGTGAGCGCCGAGACCCTGTCCCTGCCAGGTACAGTAGGACCCCCCCCCAACCCCTACCCGACTGAGCCCACGAACTCCCGACCGAGCCTCCGAGCAGACCTTCCCCCCAGGCTCCTTGGGGCGCCGGATCCAAATCCAAAGCCCGACTTGGACTGCGCCTTGGCACAAAAAGAGTCCGAAGAGTCGGAGGTTATGAGGGGGTTTTCTGGGGCTCTCACTTGGGGAGAAGAGAAGGGGGTGAAAGTTGGGGGACGTTTTTGAGGCAGGTTAGGTAGCCTCGCATGACAGGGGTTGAAAGGCTTCAGGGCTTCTCCCACGTTGAGGCAAGTGCTTCCGATACCAGAAGGAGACGCTGGAGGACCGAGCGCCCGGAACTCCCCGAAGGCCTAGGAGAAGAGTGCCTTCACACGATGAAGACGGTCCATCCCAGGGTGGGGACGGGGTCGGTTCCGTGCTAAGTTCGTTGCTCGCATGCGGTGCGACGGAAGTTGAGGGCAAGCTTGAGGTCAAGCATTGAAATCATCGAGGGGAGGGGTTGGGCGATTAGGCGCATCATCAGCACGTGCGAGGACATCAATCACATACAGCACAACGTGAACTTCGCTCGGAAATTGTGCCCCGGCGTCGCTGTGTCGATTCTATGTTGCACCAGAGGTCCACAGTCGGAATCTCAGAGCTGAGTAAGAGGTTACGAGGTTCCAGTACTCCGGCTGTAGTTCGGCAATTCGCTTCGGCATTTCACTTCACAAGACCGACCCTACTTCCTTTAGGCCCCTGTACCACACCCCGAATCCAAGAGTCTGAAGCACCGAAGACGCACCAGCTCAGGTTTGAGCCAAGTGAGATCACGCAGGAGATGCTGGACAACGCGAGGGAGCTGCGCTTGCAGCAAGAGGGTTGTCAGGGAACAGTTGCGTTTAGGACAGCCGCGGCTGCTTGGAGTGGTCTGGTCTTGAGGATGCCATCGCCAAGAAGAAAGACATGAAGGAAGACGAGGTGGGAAAAGAAACATGCATGATCTTCCGAAGCAGTAGAAGAAGTGTTGTCACAGCCACAGCTTCAAGCATCGGCAAAGGCAGCAGCATTAGCAAATTCACACTTTCGAACCGCATCAGCACCTGCGAACCTCGAGCCTTGCGTTCCTTGTCCTGCTGTTTTGAGCTTTCTTCTGCCGGTGTCCTACCTTTCCATGCCAAGGCCTCCTCCATCGACACCAGCAGTCTGTGGTATGTGAAGCTTTCGGAGGAGCCCGACGACACTGTGAATCCTTCATCTCCAAGTTTGGTGTGAATCATGCTGCTATCTCCGATTTCAGTTGTGGTTTTGATAGCCGGCTGGCAACTCAGAGACGGTGGTGATGAGGCTCCAGGTGATGATGGCGTTGAGGACGATGGGCATGATGAGGAGCATGCGAACAAAGCAGATAGGGATCATCACTGGGACGTGGCGATGATGATGATGATGATGATGACCATGACGGGGTCTTTGGTGGCGGTAGTGGTGTGATGATGATGATAATGATGATGATGTTTGTGGTGATCGTGATTATTTGATTATTGCTCACAACGTCTGTTGTTGCTATTCATAATGAGTACTCCTATTCCCACTGTATTATGCGGCTTATGATAGCCGTCGTCACAGTGTTGCGAACCCTGTTTCCACGAATATTGAGGCCATTTGCTCGGCTGCTGCTGCTGCTGCTACTGCTATCACTGCCACAACAACAACTACAACAACCGCAGCCGCAGCCGCAAGCGCAAGCGCAAGTGCAAGCGCAACAACAACAACAACAAATGCTACCTGCTACCACCGCCACGACGACGACTGCTACTACGACGACTACGACGACGACGACTACTACTACTGCTACTACTACTACTACTACTACTGCTACTGCTACTGCTACTGCTACTGCTACTGCTACTGCTACTGCTACTGCTACCACCACCACCACGACGACGACTACTACTAATTACCACTCCAACTCCTACTACTCCTGCTCCTACTCCTGCTCTTCATCCGACGCCTACTGCTCCTACTGCTGCTGCTGGAGGCGTGTGGCAGAACAGTTTCAGCCTTGGGCCGTAAGCCATACACCTGAAGCCGAGCCCGCGTCAGGACTTGGCCAAAAGAGCGAAGAGCGGGGCCAAGGCATGGGCTCGCCTGGGCCAAGGGTGGGATGCAGAAGTGAAGCTGAAGGCTGAGGAGATATCACGGGATTCGGGCCTTCTTGGCACCTGAAAGCCCAAAGATCCGGAGTTCGAGCTTCCAAGCTGAAGTCTGCAGGGCTTCACAGTCGAGGCCTTTGACCCACCGAAAGTCCAGAGACCCCGAACCCCTTCAAGCTAAGACATCGAAGTCTCTGAGCATCTCAGAGAGATCCTCAGCCACGGAAGCGCGAAGGCAGATCTCAACACCTCCCTGCAGGTCTCGGTCAAGCGTGGTGAAGAGGAGCTTCAGGCTTGCCTGGTGTCGTATCCAGACAAGGCCTTCTCGGGGTTTTTTCACGCCTTGTCTTGCGTTCCGCTGTTTGATCTGGACCAGACGTTGAGTTTCCTTGCATCGTTTTTTTTTGGGCACTGCGACTTGAATTGACCAAGATGAGAGTCCCATGTGCTTAAACTGGTGCTACATTCCCCTCATCCTGCTGCATCTGCTGCCTCCTCTTCATGATGACGATGGTTCCACGACCCCCACTGCATCCTCTCAATGTAGGTCGGTGCCCGGAACAGCTTGCGGCACAGAAGGAAGGCTCCAAGCAACTTGCTTCTTGGGTCCGGGCGGGCTGAACGGTTCGAGGATGGCCTGCTATGCATCAGAGTTCAGAATTATAATCAGGATTTCTGTGTGGGTTCAGGACATGCGTGAGGGCTTCGGGCGAGGTCGGGGTTACGGGCTTGCATGTCACGAGCTTCGGGTGTTGCGTTGAGGGTTTCAGAAGTGAGGGCCATCTCTCTGTAGTAGAAGAGGTGTGGACTTTGGACAACAGGGACACAACTTTCACTTCATCAAAGGATGAGTGCCCAAGGCACGGGAAGTGGCTGAGTTGGCGCGTTTTGGCAATCACAGGCAGCTCCCTTGAGCCACGTCCAGGAACATCAAGCTCATAGACATAGAAGGACCGCATCACATGCAGGCAAAGCATACCCAATTCGCAAAACCACCTAGTTCATACACTGGTCCAAGCGTGAAACCGCGGAGTAGGTGGTAAAACCACCATGAACAGTGAGCTCCGACTGCGACTAACCCATACGTCTAAGTCACCGCTACAGCCCCTTGCGCCACGGTCTGCAGAATGCAGTTATGAAGTAGGAATTTTGAGTACAACACTCGCAGTGAGCGAATTAAGGGTTAAAGGATCCCGAAGCGGCGACCAATTATGTATTATATACTACCATTGCATACATTGTGAGCGCCTAAACCCTGCAACCCCAAAAACCCGACAAGCCCCAAGTACTAAACCCTAACGCCTCTGCCCTGAAAGTCCCAGAATGCTAGCATACAGTCCTAGACAGCCCTAAAGCCCAAGCTTCGCGGTGCCCGGCAGGCTCTGTGGGAGCTCTGCCCTGCGCCCGGCCCGGATGACAAGCGCTTCTGGCGTGAGTTGTCGAGTCGCGACTTTTCGGGCGCAGGGCTGCCATGATGATGACTGTTGGGTTTAGGATAGGGTTCAGGGCATGGCTGTTCCTGTCTTTGCAGCAGTTGTTTTCTCGACGACGATGGTGATGATAAGCACTATCCACAGGTTCTCGCAGCTTTCGTTATCGGCGGTGAGTGTGCCCGTAGTCCGGGATTTTGGGTGGTTCAAGGCCTGGGCTTGCAGGTCCACGCTGTAAAGCTTTTTGAGTCAACTCACCCCAAGAAAGCCCCCGAGAGAAGTCGCTCTCGAGGGCCTCGGTGGGATTCAGGACCCTACCTTCTTACCTCTTAGCCCCCCTTGAGTCAGGAAGGTGCCGGATGAGGACCCATTCCCCTGCGGTGGGAGAGAGAAGTTGCGCGACGAGAAGTTCAAGTGGAAGCCGGGCGATGCTTTCGAATTCATAGGCCGGGCATGCGGTTTAGTGTTGTTCGGAATTTTTCGTGATTTAGCTGAGAGCACTTGGGTCGGCTGTGATTTCAAAACCTGAGAATAAGCTTGGAGAGAGTTCCAGGTTCAAGAAGGGTTGGAGGCTAAGGCGTCAAGATTGTTTTCTTTCGCGTTTAGCGGTGCAGGGTTCTAGGGGATACTCTGTGCGGAAAGAATGGTGAAAGTGCTGAATCCAAAACTCGAAGCACTGGAAAGCACGAAATCAACGTCGGCCGGAGGTGGATTCCGAAACCCGCAGCCTTACTTGAGCAAACCGAATGGCCCAGATTTTTCGGGTTCCCCATTGTGAGATGGGATGGATAGCTAAATGACTAGATAGCTAGCTGCACAGAGATGGATAGACAGCGGTAGATCAATAGATTAGAAAGATAGGTAGATAGATAGGTGGGTTGATAGATAGACCGAGCAGATGGAATAGGTGGTAGATAGATAGACAGATGGATAGATCGGTGGGTATACGTAGATGGCTTTACATACAAGGATAGGTAGAGGGCTGGAGAGGTAAGCACATAGATCGATCACCACCAAGCCGTGTGCCACAGATGCCTGTGGCATACCCTAAACCCTTAACCTCTAAACCCTCAGCTGCTGCCTGCGGACAAAGACCCTAAACTGCTGCCTGCGGACCAAGAGGCTACCGCACTTAAAAATAAACCCCTAAACCCCAGTGCTGACACCCTAAACCCAAGCCAATGCCCAATCAGCTGAAGCCGCACAGGAAGCTGCAGGAGCTCCCTTGCTCTGCGGCATCCGGGCATGAAGGACAGGGTTTAGGGTTGAGGGCTAAGGGTTTAGGGTTATGATTTGCTGAAGCAAGGGTTTAGAGTTTAGAGTCTAGAGAGTATGTGCCAACGGCAATTTTAAGATTGAGATCTCCGGGTTTGAGATGAAGTTCTTGCGGATGTGCGGCATATACGCTTCCTAAACCAGAAGCTCGAAAACCGTAACTCCAAACCCCAGAGGTTCCGGATTGGGTTAAGGCTTCTCACGCTCGGGATTTCAGGTTCGGAGTTCTGATGCTTGAAGCCAAGGCCCAGCCGCAGGCCCAAAAGCCAACAGCTCCAGTCGTACAACATGGGGGCTTCAGCAGCGAATCAAGCTGTTCCTCACGATTTCTGCATATGCTTCAAAATGTCATATACTACCCTTACCCCTATTCTCATCATTACGACCCCTACATTCGATGGCTTACATTGGCAAAGGACTACGACGAGGACGGCGACGAAAGGTTCGACTTGGCCGTGCCTGGGCTTCTCTTTGCTTAGGGAAGCAAAGATACCTATGCTGCACCCTACAAGTACTATCCTACTACCCTATAGTACCCTGTTACCCTAGCAATGACTCATCTACTACCCCGCATGCCCTACTACCTTAATGCCCTACTACATGACCATGAGTACCCTAATGCCATAGCTCCCCAGCCGCAAAGGAGCGACGAAACCCGCAGCAAAGGCTCGAGCCGGCCCGCAAAATTAGTTACCAATACTATGACCTAGCGTTCCTTGTTCTACGTTTTCCACAGCAAGGCCCCTACATTAGGCTGAACCAGGTTTGCACGTGGGTTTAGGTTGGGGTGTAGGGTTCCAGCAGATCAGACAGGGGTGTGTTGCGCATAGCGACGCGGCTGGTGTGGCCCCGAAGACGGTTCAAGGCAGCCGAGTACCCTCACAAGAAAATGGCACGTAAGAGAGCCAGCCCCAGGTTCAAGAGCGGTTTAGGGGTCGGGGAGCTAAAGATGACAGACTGACGGAGCCTCAGGTTCGAAGGGAAGCGGAAATTGCACTTGCCCATGGCATCGTTGCCTCTGCGACAGTCCCCAACGGAATCGGATTGTGAGGTAGCAGGACATGGCCAAGATGGATGCGCTGCGAGCGCGCCTCCTTGTTTTGCATCTGTTTGCACGGCTTGGCTTCGCAAATCTCGGTCTCTTACGCAGGCCGAAATATTGGTGGATTGCGACGGAGTTGGAAGAGCTTCTTGCAATCGCGGAGTCGGCAGAGCAGGACACCTGGCAAGCTCTGCCGGCGAAGTTTCCCAAGGTGACTTTCCAGATGCTTCTTGATCGGCTAAGCCCACAGGGAGGGAATGGCTTCGCCGTGAACATCGGGGCTGAGGATGGTCAGAATCACGATCCTATTTACCCGCTCTTCGAAAGGGGCTATGCTGGTCTGGCGATAGAGGCCGAGCCACGTTGGCACGATGCGCTGGCACAGAACCTAGCGCAGGTCAACAGCAGCCAGCAAGTTTTCATCGCAATGGAAAGAGTAAGCCCCGTCAACTTGCCAAGTTTGCTTCGGAAGTTTCGGGTTCCGAGCCATTTCGATGCTCTGAAGATCGACATTGACAGCATCGATTTGGCGATACTGCGGACCGTTCTCCACAGCGGATACTCTCCCCAAGTCGTCATGATTGAAGTGAACCACGACATTCCACCTCCGTTTCAGTTTGAGTTGGAATATGACCCTCAGTGCGAATGTAAGGCCGGGCGAGGAGCCTACGGGGCGTCGGTCGACGCCGTATTCCGCGAGGCATCCCTTCGAGGATACGCTCTTGTTGCAATGGAGTTTTTCAACCTAGACGCCGAGTGCGCCTTCTGCGAGCACAATTTGTGGTTTGTCCGCAACGAGCTACTGGGTCGAGGTAGAGAGAGCCCACTTGTGAGTTGGCGAGGTATGGTGCGAATGTTTTGGGCGCAACTGGCGGGTTTCGACTGCCTCCATGTCGGCAGGGGCTTGAGGAGCCGGAATTCCATGTGCCCAAGACATCAACTAAGGGAGCTGGTCGCAGAGCTGGGAGGCTGGAATTCGAGTTGGTCACTCGCACGGATGTCCTTCCACGCTGCGCAGCATCCTAGCTTTGCCATTGGCATGGCATCACAGTGGAGATCGAAGCTTGAGTACCCCTATGCTTGCTCGCAAGCCTGCAGATTCTCAGTGGCAGTGACGAGACTTGATGAGCACATAGGAGCTGTATCCCAAGGCCCCGAAACTTCTGTCTCGCAAGAGTCAACGGCTGAAAGCCTCCTAGGTCCTAGGTAGGTGCTGGACATGCGGGCTTCACATGTGCGAAGGCTTGCTCAACATGTGACAAAAAGATATTGCCGGACGCGCGTACCGTCGCCGGGCTAGTCCGGGAGTGAGTGCCGAACCCAAAAATGCCTTGACTCTATCAGCAGGTGATCTGCGGATGCAGCCGTTCGAGTCTTTAAGATTCCGAAACCATTCGAAACCCACGCCGAGGGGCGAAACCCATCTAAACCCAAAGGCGTCTAGCTGAAAGCCCCCTCCGTAAGGTGCGGGGCATGACCCGAGAGCACCGGAAGAAGCTGGCTGAGGAGGCGAAAGAGGCCAAAGAGGCCAAAGAAGCCAAAGAGGCTGAAGCCAAAGAGGCCGAAGAGTCGAAGGAAGACAGCTGACAGGCTGAAAGATAGAAGACTTTGGGGGTTAGGGGTGCTGGGACTTCGGGACTCAGGGTTCATGGTCTTGGGGAGGGACATGTAAGAAAAGTTCGGGGGTTCGCGATGGAGAGTTGGTTTGGGATGGGGTGTTTGGGGCTTCACGAAACTTTCACTCGTGAACTCGCAGCAAAGACAGTGCGATATGATCTTCATCAGACCTTCGCATCCTTCGATGGAGAGCTTGAGCGTTTCACTTCCCGAGCGAATGAACGGCCTCATCATGGGAAAATGGAATGCATGGCATGGTGTAGGGGCCTGAGTAGCAAGTTCGACCATTCCCCAGGCTTTCATAAGAGCTGTATGGAGCCATAGAGCATAACTCAAATCACTCAGGCCCTTAAATCTCCATATGTAGCTTCAGAGACTCTTCTGCAGCGGACTCTGCAGCCCATTTATGCTAGCACAGGAAACCCTCAGCACTTCTTATGATGGGAGATCTGCAGTCTGACTCAAAGCTCTTGAGAATAGAGGAGTTGCTTCAGGATGCTTGAACGGTGCAGAAGCTTGCAGTCAGTTTCCCCCGTTGCCGATGCCCCGCCGCGCCGCATCTGCACCGCCGCCGAAGGGACTCACTCGCCCCGTGAAGGTTTGTGAAGCTTGGCCTAATTGAGTTGAGCGACTGCTTGTGTGCAAACAGAGCTTTGATCGAACCACAGCCGAACATACACGCGGCAAGGGCAATGCTGAATGAAGAGGCGGGGAAGTGCAGCTCAGAGCAGTTCTACTGACTACAACATCAACATCCCCAAACTTTCGCGACGTCCTTAAACCTCGCTACCCAAACCCTCAACCAAAAATGCCCCCCACGAAGAGCCCATTCCAAAGCAGCCCCAAACGCTCCCGAGCCTGAGGTTCGGGTACGTCCGGTACTTGAGCGAGAGGTGGAGCATGGTTCCGAGCCCAGGAAATCGAGTTTCGGTGTACAAAAGGGGGTTCCTTAATAAAGGATAGTATACTGGCCCCCAAAACCCTATTCTAATTATTAATACCCCTATAGTAGGGGTTTGGGGTTCAGGGTCTAGGGTGTCGGGGTGATAAGGGTTTAGGGGTGTTCGTCCTGGCGGAGTTGCAGCAGGCCAGTTGCAAAAGGGGTTTCGGTGTTTAGGGGTGGAGGGTTTGGGCTCTACACACTTGAAAGTGGGTTTGGGGTTCAGGACTCCCTTTTTGCAGAGCTTTTTGGGTTGGGCTTAATTGAAATTCAGTTGTATTTATCAAGTGCCCTAGACGGGAAGGTGCGGGTTGTTCTACATCTGGGTTCGACACCTCCTGCCCAAGACGATGGTTTGCAACAGCCCTCAGAGGGGCTCCGGTTTGAAGCTTTAAAGCTTTGGCTCAGCGTTCAGGTTTCTTGGACCGAATTGCTTGTGTTTTGGGATGTGCTGGCATTTGGTTCACCATGCTTTCGGTAGACATTTTCGCGGGGGAGATGCGTAAATTGCGTCGTGGCTAACAAACATAGACGAACAAATCGGCGAAGACGCAATGAACCACCTTGTTTCCGTTTGCAGTTAGACAGCAGGACAAGTTCGGATTGGATTGCCCAAGGTACTTATCATGGATGTATCGCCATCGCCCACGAGCGAGTCTACATCAGCACGGAAGACAAGCCCGTGCTAATCGGAAGCAAGGACACTGCCTCCTCTCTCTCAGCGGCTCTTACTCTCTGCTTCTCCTTACAGTAGCAGCTTTAAGTTAGAAGGTAGGGATATCGCTTGAAGTATCCCAAAAGGGGGTTTGTTACGGTTTTCTGGATCCAGGACGACCCCTTGCCGGAGGGAATCCGTGCCTACCCTGGCTTCGATGGCCTCCTGGACCAGGACGCCTCGCAGGAGGCCCCCGAAGATGCGATGCCAGGTCTGTTTCCAGGGTGGATGCCTCCGAGGAGTTTAAAATGCGTAATCTGAACCTGTCAGAAGCTGGGTTGTTGTGAGTGTCGAGGAAAGGCTAGAGTGCAGCAAAGCATGGTCTTTTCCAGTCTGATATGGGGAGATCGCCATGTAGACCCCGCCAATTTCGGGAACACATGCTTTTACATCTGTGAAACTTACACGAGGTTCCAAGGCTGGAGGTGACCTGAATCCCTGACCCTCAAGATTCAAGATACCTGCTTGGAGACGGAGCCGGGTGCATCACCAAGCACTCGCGCACCCATCTGCGGTTGCCACAGTCCCCGATATTCAGTGCCGAAGATTCGGAATTGTCGGAAGGGAAAGCCACAGGGGTATGCAATATGTGAGGGTGCCAAATTTACGTCAGGACGTTTTTCAATCCGCCGGAAAGGAGGCAGTCGACGGAGTTCTGCTACTTGGCCCTCCAACTTCTCCGTAACCTGTGAAGCGTCTCTTGTGGTCGACCGCTCGTCTCCCCTCGGTACATATTTCTTTCATTTTTGTGACGATGATGCGGCCTTTGTATGGGCTGGAAGGTGCAAAGTTGAAATGTGGTATTCAATTCATTTAGGTTCAGTGAAACTCTGAGGCATATGTTGTAGAGACTGGTGAGAGCACAAGAAGACTGCGATTTCCTCTTTGGGACGACTCTGGATTTAAACTGTTCTCCGGTTCGTGAGCATAAGCACCGCGAACGAAGAGATGATCCCAATGATTTTGCTGTAAAGAATTGGAATAAGACAGTGCAAACCTATCTATCGATCTGTCTGTCTATCTATCTATCTGTCTATACATACATGCTGCATACATGCATACATACATACACACTTACATAAACAAATAGATACATACCTACATACATAGTTAAATAAACACACCCACACACACACGCAGACATATACGCACATACATACATGCACACATACATACATGCATGCATACATACATACATGCATACATACGGTTTATCTATGCACATATCACATACACCTACACATACATGACACATGGATACGCACGTAAATATATCTGTATATATATATATATATATGCTTCTTCTTTCTGCCGTCCACTCTTCCTGATCACGTATTCCAAGTTCCTTGTCCGTGTTGGCGCTTGCTGCTTCCACCATCCCATATGTCTTTACATGAACGCGCAAATGAATGCGTGTCTGTATGTGTTTTATGTGAACATGTATGTTTGCATGTAGGTATGTATGTCTCGCATCCGATAAGGCTTGGCCTGAATGCCGCCATCATGGCTTATGGCCAAACCTCGACGGGAAAGACGCACACCATGGTGGGCGAATCTTGCTTTGCAAGAGTTGTCCATTTGAGGAGGCTTGGGAAAGAAGGGTAGTTGTGCGTGAGCACGTCTTTTAGGATCCTTTTTGCCGGGATCATCTTGTCCGGGTGCTAGAAGGGCTTTGCTTTCCATCCGCTCTGGGCCCATGGTGGGCTTGAGCTTCGTAGAGAGTGAGCGCGTTTGTACTGTTGTCTCCCTGAGTCTCGCCTTTCCCTCAGTCTCGCCTTGGTTTGCTTCGTCAAGTTAGTGAAGATGCTGAGACATGCAAAGAACCTTATACATTTGTGGATCCCCACACTGAGTTCAATATCAACAGTTCGGAACACATGAACCATCTCGTGAATAGGGCACAGCATCGACAACCTCCTTTCGGGAGTAATTAATCTTCAACCCCAAGTCAAAAGCTTCTCATCGAATACCTCATCGGGTATCTTGGTGAGAGCTTTCTGCCACGGTCCAGGAGACTCTGGGCCACAGTGACAAATTCCTGAATCGATTTTCCGCTAGAGATGTTCCGCAGGGCAACGCTCAGCTCGAGACCTCGAGTAGCGTACGGAAGGAAGAATAGTACCCTCATGGCACCTCGGTGTCTTCCGTCTGACGAGCCTAGGACCGCACACGTCCAGGCCTTTGCCTCAAGGCACGGCTTTTTCACATTCGGGTTTACGTTTGGAAGCTCCAGTTTGGTTTTAGGTTTTTAGGGTTTGGGGTTTGCAAGAATTGGGTTTGGCTTGAGACCATGGTCTAACATAGTGCCAATTCCATCACAACTCTGAAGACCCATAGTGTATTGTATCCTCAGAGTCTTTCTCTGAGAATGGTTACGCTCACAGGCCAGAGATATTCAGCGTGGTCTTTATCGTTTGTTCTAGTGGTGAGGGACTTGGCAGGTTCGCAGCTGCGAGGGCTAGTCTTGACCTGCGATGGTCCGATGCCTTAAACCGTTCACCACCTTGTCCGCCTTCGCGTTCCTTGGAGTAGCACATTGCAGGAGGCATCGGACTCAGCTAGTAATGATTCCGCACCAACACGACTTAGGCAATGGCTCTCACCGCATACTGTGTGCATGTTTTAAGTTTACAGTAAGTGTCACGATGTCACGGTACGGTGACTTATTCATTGTATCCTCATGACGTTCCTCTACAGAAAGGAGGTTGTGCTCGCCACTCTCCACTTGGCCTGTGTCGAGTGCGTAAGCTCCCCTCTACTTCATAGGCTTACAAGGCCGAGGTTCCATACTACTCAGCCTACTTCACATACCCGAAGCCGGAACCCTAAACTAGTTGTGAGTGCTGAAACCCTGAACCAGAATTCAACCGAACTACCCTGCAATGAGGGTCTCGTCTTTGCGAAGTAGGAGGGAAAATAGACCCTTAACCCAAAACCCTGAGCCTTGCCTGCCTTGTGCGAGTGTGAGCGTCGAAACCCCAGAGTTCCCAGAGTTGTTCTACCTCAACACGGACCTCGAAACACCTCGGCGACTCCGAGCCCTAAAAGAGACGAAGAGTGGAGCCCTGGGCTCGAGGCAGCAGGGCACCTCTTCTCTGAGGCTGCCTTATGTGGATCGCAGATCGAGGCATCGCCAGGGATTCGGGATTCGAACTTAGGGCATATCAATAAATAAATAAATACATATATATATATATACATACATATCTATGTAGAGATGAAGATAGAGATAGATATAGATAGAGATAGATAGAGATGGACAAAGATAGATAGATAGATAGGGCTTGTTGGGGCTTGGGGATGCGTGGGACCCCCCTTCCTCCGCAGCCACGGCTGTCGGCCCAGGTTCAAGCTTCGTTCCTCCAGCTGTACTTAAACCACATCACAGATCTTCTGGTGCCGGGGCCATGCACACAGCAATTGCCGTAGGGTTGAGGGCTCCGGTCTGACATCCCATGTCACTGCCAACAAGGTTTAGCAATGAAGTCGCCGAAGGTCGAGACAGACTCTCATCTATGCAGTGACTCAGGTATCCGATGGCCACGAGCGTTCGCTGAAACTGCGGGAGGTGGTGGGCGAAGAAGCGACGGACACCAAGGTCGAGGGACTCTCAGAGAGGCCCCGGGCGAAAGCAAATGTAGTTCCTAGTTTTTGTTACAATCTTCATCATCAGAATCACCCATACTGTGGCTACGTGCATCTAGTGGGAGCTTTTGGGACTGCTGTGCTCGTTGTGCTTAGAGTTAGAGCGTCCTGTGAGCGAGGTTGGTACAGTCGATGGACGATGTCGCAGCCGTCCTCGAGGTGCTGCGGCGTCGAGCCAACTTGAGTTTCTCTTCCCAAGCCAGCCATTCCAAAGCCTCAACTCTTAGCTCGCGTCTGGCGAGCGGTAATGTTTATCTAGAGGCGATTCATACTGCGGCAGGAACCTCAACTGCGTCACAACAGAAGGCCTCGCAGGTTTCAAGGCCCAAAAGAGTAAGGCCTTTCATGGGCTCAGGCTCGCGCCTCTAGGTTCACAACCTTTGTCCTGAGCCCGAAACCCCAAAGGCTAAAACCTTTCTGGAGTTCAAAAGTGCGCAGGAGGGCAACCGACGGCGGCAGCAGGCGTGCACCGCGCTGAATGCCAGCTCCAGCCGGTCCCACGCTGTGCTGACGCTTTTTTTAATCAAGGGTACCCGTGATCTCAGCATTTGAGGGCCTCTCTGTAGGAAGCTGTGGCTTAATTAAGTGGTTCTGCTAGCAGCAAGCGGGGACGATTCTATGGCGCTTGTTGGTCAGTGGCTTCGGTTCTAGGAATCTAGGCGCTCGCATGAAGCCTGGAATGGGCTTAGGCTCTGAAAACTCCAAGGCCCCACTATAACGGCCTCAATTACCGGCGCTAAGCAGTTTTGGGGCTTCCTTATTATACCCCAAAGGCTCATTCCATAGCAGTCACTCCTCCCCTGGAAATCGAGGATCCTCAACGTCAGCCTGTGGACGGGCGCGAGATCCGACGAGGAGGGCGAGGCCCCGTGACGAAGAGCTGAGTAACTGAGAGGCTTTGGGGTGCCGTTGAATAAGTGGTACCTTATTTCGGGGTCCTTGTGATGAGGATCCTGCTATTCAGGGTACTAGAGTAGGGTCCCCCATAATCGGAACCTCCCATATGTCACCGTGGTTCTAGTAAGACAGCCACACAACGAGTATTATTAGTTGTCTACAGCATACTCCATTTTTGCTTAGGGCTCCGGGCCCAAACCTTAAACAAACCCAAACCCTCATAACTCATAATCCCCAAAACCTTGAATCCGAAAACATCGGCACGCTCGCACCGAAAAGCGCAAGAGAGGCCGACGCCACTGTGGCAAAGCCCCTTGGCAGCAAGTGCTCAGATTAAGGTTTCTCCACGGCCCTGTCGAAGTGCTCCTATGTTTCTGCACCTCACTCGAATGATGAGGTCTCGGAAGAGGCAAGAGCTAAGAGCACCTTGAGGATTTGAATCGACACCACTCCCGCCCATCCAATTCCTAGTCGCACCACCACTGCTACCACGGCTACTTCGAAGACGACGACTACTACTATTGTTGCTGCTGCTGCCACCACCTACCCTTCACGACCCGCTGCTGCTCCGATTCCTAGCTCTTGATCGTGATGTAGGTAGCAGTATACGGTACAAATGTGACTATGAGGTGAGCATGGTTGGTGCAGGTGCATGAGGGGTGTTTTCTTCTTCCGAGCCTGCCAGCAGATGACGAATGTTGGATCCAGTGTCTAGTCGTAGTCATGGCATGTAACTATGTCCTGGGCCCTGAGGCCTAAACTGCTGAACAACACCTATTCCCTAGGGGTGAACAAACCTCTGAGAGTTCAGCACTATCCTGTTTCTGTGGTTGCGTTCAGCCGTGCAGCATCGCCCGGCACCAAATCGAAACTTCAGACTTGAGAAGGGTTTCGGGTTCATTTATAAGAGATATACAGGGTTCTATAAGGGCTCTAAGAGAATGGTCAGAAAGTTGGCACCCCCGGACCTAGGCTGTACCTTGTCGATCTGGCTGGCAGCGAGCGGGTCAAAGACTCCGCGGCCACTTGAGCTTTGCGGAATCGAGTTATGTCAAGGGTGGAAGGTTGACGCTTTGGATCGGATTCCCGAAACCTCAGTTCCCGGAGCCCAACTTGTGGGCAGCCGCTGGGGTCGTGAACAACTGTGAGTAGGACGCGGAAACCGGGCACCGGGGCTTCAGCAGGATGAACCCTTCGGACGCTGAAGCCGTGCCTTACTTCTCCCGAAGAAGCGGAAGCCCACAGGACAGGGCCGCTCCTGAGCCCTGGTAGCCTGAATGAACCGTATGGCATTCCCGAGACTCAACACCCGTTGGAACGCAGAAACAAGCGATCCCTGCCTGCACGAATCTGCACGAGAGGTAGGAGTTAAGCGAGCAGATCTTTCGAGTCCTGAAAGCCTGTACATCTAGGATGAATTTCGCATGCCTAAATCTTGACAGGGAGAGAACCCTAGCCCTTGCCCTAAGCCCTGCACACCGAAACCTTCAAACCCATATGCAACCAAACCCCAGGCAGCTGGGGACCGCTTCACGGAGGCGGTTCACATCAACAAGTCGCTCTTTGCACTGCAGGGAGCGCCTCGTCCAGCTTGGAGTTTGGGGTTTGGGTTTCAGGGCAGGTGAACTAGAGGTGGTCCCTCTCTCTTCTTATCCAGTTATGTACCCATCTACACGTACATGGACACGTCTGTTTATCTCTACAGAGTGCGCCTCAGATGTGTTAGACCAGCATCTACACAGCCGTGCACAGTTAGCAAGCATGAAACAATCAGCGACTGCGCGCACAGCGAGTCGCAAAGAGTTAGTTGTTTGTCTAACTATATTTAACTGACTAATTTGTCCTTCGTCAACCAACCAACCAACTTGTCAGATCATTGATAGGTTTCTCAGACCGTAAATACATGCATGCATGCATACACACAGGCACACATACGTACAAACACGCAGACACACATGCACACGTACATGCATGCATGCATGCATGCATGCATGCATGCATGCATGCATGCATGGATGCTGCAATCATGCATACATATATGTACATATATACGTATACACACACACACACACACACACACCCCTGCATACTTTCTTGCACACTTGCACATTTTTACACTAACGTCTATCTATCTGTGCATTTATACATAGTCGGGTGGGGATCCTGGAACCGTGGAAGGACTTCGCTGGCCTGGCATGGGCTTGCTGTAGCTCAGATTCAACGGAGAATGCCAGGATTAGGGCAGCACGGAGGATCTCCCGACGCGATTCATCGCTTCCGAGGCGTAGCTTACCTTACTATACGGGTCGTGCAATTAATCGACCCCCCCCTTGCAAAGAAGGTCTTTCTGAATTATTAAAGGCCTCTAGCCCCCTAGATCAGGTGGTGGCTGCACTGGCTGATGGAAAGCCGCATGTCCCGTTCCGAAACGATCCGCTCACACAGCTGCCTGGCGAAACGAGATGGGACGGGCTGCCTGTGCAGTGAAGCGTGGATTGAAGGTGTTGTATTTGCACGAACTAGCTGGGGTAGATTTGATGCTCCATGCCGTTAGCCTGGCTTCTTGAGGTTGCTGCGGCCAGCGCTCGGTGGGATTCCCGGCCTCACTTGAACTTCCGTATTCCTTGCATACGGGTGCTGTTTCACATCGCATCCAAACACGCGATGAAAGAATCATTTCACTAAACCGTCGCCAGTTACTGGAGGCCTGTAAGCCCCACAGCGGCCACATCCTTATTGTGGCAGTTCTCAGCGACACTGGTGCGACCACAGGGTTACTTGTTCGAGTTGGGCTCAATGGGATCCCGCTAAAGCAGACATACGCCCCAACTTGGAAGGCAGACGGAACCTGCCTCGTAACCCGGGCGAAGGAACTGCTGCACTACTCTCGTCGCAACGGTATCTCCAGCCCAAAGGCACGAAGCGGGGCGTGTAATGAGGTTACCGTTGCGGGATCGTTGGGTTTGGATGTCAAAGCGGATCGATTTTGTGAAGAGGTGTCGAGCCCAGTACTCAGCAGCATGAGACGTGGCTTGGCCGTTCACCCAAGATAATTGCAGGGACAGTTCCCCGAACATCGCTTAGCACTCGAGAGCAGCCGTTTCCACGTGACCAGGCATTCGCGAGAGTCCGAAGGGACTCTGAACTTCGCTTCGAGCTGCCGCCGCATCCGGGGCGAGGCGTTCGTGATTTGGGATTTTGAAACTTGGGTAATATAGGGGCCTAAATGATTACCAATGCTATTTTGTGGGCTCCTCATTATATTTATAGTATGATGGGTCCCAAAACCCTGTTCTAATCAGTAAGGCCCCGACAGTACTCAATCCGGTCTCGACTCACCCTGCCTCAAGTGCCCTCCCGGTAACGGCAGCAGTAGCCGTAGCAGTAGCAGGAGCTCGTGCGCGTAGCAGTAGCAGTAGCAGTGCAGTAGCAGTAGCAGCGGCAAGGTGGCAGTAGCAGCAGCAGCAGCAGGAGTAGAACTAGTAGTAGTAGTAGTAGCAGCAGCAGTAATTTATTATTATTCTTATTATTAGTAGTAGTAGTAGTAGTGGCAGTGGCAGTGGCAGTGGCAGTGGCAGTGGCAGTGGCAGTGGCAGTGGCAGTGGCAGTGGTAGTGGTAGTGGTAGTGGTAGTGGTGGTAGTAGTAGTAGTAGTGGCAGTGGCAGTGGCAGTGGCAGTGGCAATGGCAGTGGCAGTGGCAGTGGCAGTGGCAGTCGCAGTGGTAGTTGTAGTGGTAGTGGTAGTGGTAGTGGTGGTGGTGGTAGTAGTAGTAGCAGTAGTAGTCGTAGTAGTTGTAGTAGTTGTAGTAGTTGGAGTAGTTGTAGTAGTTGTAGTAGTTGTAGTTTAGTAGCAGTAGTAGTAGTAGTAGTAGCAGTATATAGTATGATGATGATCGCCTGAGTGCCAGAGAAGCGGAACGGCATCGAAAGCAAAGGGAGCACGATCAATACCCAGCTTTTGCACTCCCAATCCACAGGTCTTCGTGTGCCTTGGCGTGGTAGAGCAAGCTTCTCCCTTTTTGGTGATCGCGTTCCTTGGCCGTCAGTACAAGACACCCATAAAGAAGTAATAGTAGGTCCCTTTGTTACTTTCTTTATATAATTACCGAAAAGCATATTCCAACACCCTGTTCTAGCCGTCTTGCAAGTCTTGTGGTCGTCATTCACAGGTCACAGCCCCATTTTGAAGTGCTGTGGGGCTCAGCACGTGGACTGCAAAGCGACATGCCGCTACAGTACTGACATGCGCCCTCTCAATCCTTACGTGATCATCGCGATCCGGCAGGTCGTAGGAGCCTGAACCCGAGCACTCAGTAGTGCAGAGCCGGAATGTTGCTAGGTTATATATATCTAACAATAGTTGCTTTGCTTGATGTAGACTTTTCATATCAGACATTGCTTTTATACTTATCAATACACCAGATAATTCATCTAAAACTGCTTCAACTTCTTTGTAATTTCTTAGTTTGAAAAATATTAGTTGTCTTGAATTAGTTCTAATAGTTGTGCTTAAACCGTTGTATTTTTGAGATGAACTAATTATATTAACTCCATAGTGTCTTGCTTTGATATATAAGGCATTGAGTAGATTATTATGCTTTGCAAATGATGCTTGGTCTACAAAGTCATCCACTAGGAACAGCACCGAAAAGAGTTTGGTTTCTCCATTGTTCTTTTGAAACTCGTTAATCTTATGTTGTAAGTTTAAGACCTTGTGCATTTCATCAATGTTAAATGCATCAAAAAACACTTTTTCTTTTTTGGTGTCTATTTTTAAGGTATTTTGAACATAATCTTTTACTGGTGTCCATACTGGGTCTAAATCAATCGAGCTTGACCAAATAAATATACGAGAGAAACAACCCCTATATATGTTTAATATTAAATTTGATAGAAGAACCGTTTTACCACTACCAGATTGACCAGTTATAACCATTGAAAAGGGAATGCGGGGCGCTACATCGTATTTACTTTGTGTGAATGTGTATTCTTTTGTTTTGTATGGTTTAACTATAGGTATGTCCATTATTATTAATTAGAAAATATATGATTTGAATATATAATGAATGAAAAATATGATGCTTATATTGAAACAATAAACGGTTTAGAAGTAGTACAGGCGCAGGTAATAAAGATAGTAAGGCAAAACGATGTTGCTATTTATCATTGGAGTTTGTGAAAGCAGTTAATATTTGCTTGAAAAATGTTAAAAAATCTAAATAGTATAAATGAGCGATGTAACTGATAGTGAAAAGAAGAAAGTGTTTTTCATAAACACTAATGGTATATCATGTATCCCTTGTAGATGTAAAAGACAATCATACCATAAGGAAATGAAGACAACAAAGGAAAACAACACAGTTACAACAAATGTTATAGAGGATAGACGAAACTTGAAATTTGGTGGTGGGAGGAATGTTTCACCCGATGAAAATGGGATATTCAAAAATGATAATCAAACCGGAAGCGTTGAAATATGTGATACAGGCTGGGGTAAAGGAACTCAGATTACACCAGAGGAATGCGAACAAAGACTAGAAGGAACTGAAACAGACATTGAAGTCATTAAGAAAGACATAGAAAGGTTGGAGTTTGAACTGAATGACTTGAAACTAAAGATTAGTAAGAAATTTATATAATATAAATATGGAGTGTTTATTTCCTAAGAGGGAAAAAGAGGAAGATAAGAAAAGTTGGTTAGAAGAACGAAGGAACATAAGAAAATACAATGCGAGATTAAATGCGATTTTGGACGAACTAGAGGATTACTACCATTATGAAGAATATAAGAAACGATTCAAATTGTTGTTTGAGTTTTATCAGTTAGAAGAATTGCTAAAATAATATAAAAATTAGTTTGTGTTGTATAATGACAGTGCCCCCATGCCAGTGCCCCGTGTGCTTCCATAAGCGCATCAACAGAATGTGGTAATGGTCTAATTAGTTTGTTTCGTGCTTTTGGAAGAAGGAGAAGAAAACCACCGATAGTCCCTATGTAATGTTCTAATGATTTAATTCAGGAATTCAATCATTAGAGTATTGTTTCGGTCTAACTGTGTTTAAAGACTAGACTTTTTAATATAGTAAGATGGAGAAACGAGTGTGTAAATCCTGTTGTGCGACTAAAGATGTTGAAGAGTTTGACGGCTTTAAGACTTGTAATAGGTGCCGTGAAGCGAAAAGAAAATGTTACGGTAAAAACAAAAACGAGTATAACCAAACGAGAAGAGAAGAGAGGGCAAAGGGGAGCCAACTATGCGAAGAATGCGGACATAAGATAAAACACGAAAACTGGGATGCCCATTTCCATTATGCGTTACATCCGAACTCGGAACTAAGTATATTGAAAGGTTATTTGGTGAAGCTAGGTAATTTAAAGAAAGAAGGCAAACTAAACGACGAATTACAAGCAGAGATTAAGGCAGAATACGAAAAGCAGAAAAGGGAAATACGCAAACGATTAAACGAGCAATTTCCTAATAAATTTGTTGATGACGAACCGCATCCAGAACCCGAGAAACCTAATCCTGATATTGATAAAGTATTCAATCACGTCCATCAATTGCTATTTAATGACGAGTTTTTAGAAGATTATTTTATGCTTTTTGGTAAGCATAAGGATAGGATAATTATTGAAATTCCAGTTGATAAGTCATAAGTATAATGTAGTTATAGCCTTTAAACCGTTATACATTATAACTACATTATGGTTACTCGTTATCAAGTAGCGTCGCGCGCTCAGTGTTTCCTACCTTATCCCTAAACCTTATTCCTATTATTGTAAAATTATTTAAGATGACCATTTCCATTTTCTAGGGTTAGGGATGTCGGGTTGATACTATCGGGTTTTCTATGGGGGTGTTGGTGTATAAGGTTTAGCGTGGGGGTTTTCTATGCGGTTACCTATGGTTCTTCCTATGGTTCCATCATATGGTTTTTTCCTTTAGGTCTTTTGGTGAGGTTAGGGTTGAGGTATAGGTTGTTATGGTTTTGGGTCTTCAGGTGGGTCTTTCCTATGGGTCTTTCGGTGGGCTTAGGGTTGAGGTATAGGTTGTTATGGTTTTGGGTCTTGGGTGACCTAGGGGTGTGGGCATGGTTAGAAAATGGAAATGGTATCTGCTAACTCATTCACCATTGAAGGATCAAAGTCGGACTCATCCAGCTTCCTGAAGTGGGTGCGGAGTTTATCCCACCCCAAAGGTACGCCCTCTGTGAAACACTCACTGCTGCCCTGATCAAAGTCCGGGTCCCCCAATAGCTTGAGCGACTGGGACATAGGTTGGGTTACAATAATCATGGCACAGAGTGTGTTGAGTGGGGACCCGCTCGGCATGTACTAATGTTTGTTGGTTGGAGAGGGGCACTGCCCCTTCTTCACGCCCCGGAGCAAGCAAAACAAAGAGAGAGAGAGCCAATGAAGGCAATTAGGTGCATGAAAGTGCAGACCCTTTGTCATCAGATCGGTGCAAAGCAAGCACGAGTTGCTCTGAGTCTGAGTCTCGTATTGTGAACTGTGAGCTGTGGATAGCTGTGGTCATCGGTGCATACAGGGTGCTTTCAACTGCACATGCTGATTGCAACACAAATTTAACCCGAAGGCTTGGACCCCACTCCAAAAGCGAACGCTGAAAACCTCTTTTCCTAAACCCAACCTTTCTCCCCCCAACTGCCCTCAGACAGAGAATGCATAACCATTCAGGAATTCGGTGAAGAAGCCGCGGCCGTGGGAGTCAGCTCCCAAAGCCAAGGTGCTTTGTGATTGTCTTTTTGATGGAGAGGGCCGTGTGAATTCACACCCTAGGACCATGGACAGCGCCTGTCACCTTAGGAAACCGAAGAAGCACTATAAAAGCAGGTGACTGTCGCATCTTCTTCCTGCGCCATGTTGTAGCTTGGGATCGGCGTCCGGTCAGCATGAGCTGTTCCTTTCCCCGGCAACAATCGCAGAAGCGTGGACCAAGGATCCGCTTTCGGACTGCTCATGTTCTTTTTGGAAGCTCCGGGCCTTTACTCCCTCCATCTTTTCTACCGCAGTCGCACCGCGCAGGAGGAGCCAGAGGAGCCCGCTGAATGTCCCTGGGCTTCCCTGGCGACTCTCGATGCCGGGGTTCTCAGCTTTGGTCTTGGGTCATTCGGGGGGCTTCTCGGAGTGTCAGGGCAACAAGGGTTGGACCACATCGACTTCGCTTCTCTTGCTCAGACGGAGTGCCTTTCGCCTGGGATGTGCGGTGTCGATGGGTCGTGTTTCCCCTGTCAAGCCCTGCTGAAGGACTCTTTGTATCAAGGAAAGCTGCAGCTCAATCTCATCTCGTGGCTCACGTCGTGCCCCGTCTTTTAAACCATCCTGTGTCTTGCGGCTGCCCGTTATACCAGATCGGAGAGTAGAGACCGATGTCGCCGTAAATCATGCCCACTTTGGACTTGAATTGGATGTGCTTGAGACGACAAGTGACAAGTCCCATGCTTAGCTTTATCGGGACTGGCGATCCGCGCGTTGCCAGATTTAGGAATTTAGGGTAGACCTTGCGAGAAAGATCTACATAGGATAGTCACAAAGATGGTTAGACGATCGGCTGAAAAGCCGGATTTGTTTCTGCCAATGCTCCAAGAGGCACCCATTTGTCAAGCAGAGCTGCGCAAGCGGCCCCCTGGCAGCTCGCGAAACACTTGTGTCCTTGCATGCCATGAACTCCCTGAAAAACCGGACAGCGCAAAAGACAGGAATGAGATGCGCGCATGCGCACCCTCCAAGATTGCAGGCGGCCTCCATGACCGAGTCCACATTGCTGGATACGCCGGCAGGCTCAAAGGGCGTCGGAGCGTTTTCCAGGGGCGGATGGCTTGTGGCTTCGATGAAAACAAGTGCGGTTCCAGCTTGATGAAGCAGCACTGGAGCACATCTGAAACTCGTTACATGCATGAACGTCCATGCCAGCCTTCGGTGGTAACACTCTGAAGGTTCCTGCCTCGTGCGTGCACAAAGTCTTGTCAAAGAGCACATCCATGCTTTCAGGCCAAATTCAGGTGCTCACCTGCGGCCCCAGAGATGGTGAGGTGGGCTTTCTCATGCGAGTGTGCATCTCTCATCTTTCCGGCCAGAGAGCAGCGGAACCACAGTTCGCGCTTCTCCCGACAACCAAGTTTGGCAAACTCTGAACCATGCTTCATGTGCAGCTACCGGCAGATCCAAACTCAGAGGCTGCTCGTGACGCCCTCGGGCCAACAATGTGACTCAGAAGCCTGGTAGTCTCTCAAGTGACTGAAGCTTTCCCGTCCTCTTCGGTGGCTCCAGGCGGTGCTGCTCATGCATGGCTGTCCTTCCGATGCCACGACGTGGAAGCAGCACAGCCGAGATTCTGTAATTGCAGGAATCCTTTCAAAACTGAGCCAATCCTTGCCGGCTGCATAGATGCCACTTCAATAGCTCAACAACAAATGTGAGACAGGGTGAAAAGCCCTGATCCGTGAAAGTTCCTGTCTAAACAGTCGCATGCCATGGCACTGTTGTTTCTGATAGAACCCGAGAATGAATGCTGCGTGCTAGCGAGTGGCAGCTGCGTTCCTACCTATTCTTGCTAAGGTGGCTGTTTCCAGCCTTGATCTACAACAAGTACCGTGTAATTGCTGGCAGCTCAGCTTAGGCCCTGAAAAGAACGAAGTCCACAGAGCTGCCAAGAGAGCGCATGCAGAACGATGGTCTGTGGTACTTCTCCATCCTCCAGCATTCCATGTAGAAGACCTCCGCCTCAAATTATCGGCAGTGGCCGACCAGCATCACAGGACAACAAAGCAGATGAACAGGGCTCCGACTCGACCGTCCTGCATACTTCTCGCGATTTGGTGTGATGATATATATTGACCGTCTCTGCTTCTTCTTCTCTTGGTGGTTCTTATGCTGCTGCTCATTATGACGATGGTGCTGCAGAAGAAGAGATGATGATCAGGGCGATCATCAGGTGGAGGATTTTGGTTGCTGCCTGGGTTGCAGAAGCTTCTTCGTCATGTGGTAGCGCCATGTATCAGCTTTCAAAAACGGCAGCTTGAGTGAGCGCGTGTGTGTGTGTGTGTGTGTGTGTGTCTCTCTCTCTCTCTCTGTGCGTGTGTGTGTGTGTGTGTGCGCGTGCGTGCGCGTGCGTAGTTTACTTCACCAAGCTCACATCCCGTCTCGGGACTTTGCAGTTGTTGCGGCCGTGGTTGGGCTCTCGCTGCAGTTGCTGTTCTTGTGGCCGTGGTGGAGGTCGCCATAGTAGCTGTGGCCCAGGCTTTGGCTGTCGCAGTTTTTGTTGTTGGTGGTGGTGGTGGCGGCGGTCGCGGGAGGCACAGGACTAACCGGCCTTACCGTATCAGCAGCCCCATGCAATCCCTTCGTAATGTTGTTTACGGATTAAGATACCCCCCCAGATTAGACGGGGCCGTCCCGGGCATGTCATGGGCTTAATGAAGAAGTCCATTAGACCCCACCCCTATAGTACCGGAGCTCATTTAAACCCCCCCCGATTAGACGGGGCCATCCCCGAAAATCCCCGAAATAAGGATTTAGGGGATTTAGAGGCTTATGACTTAACCCTAAACCCCATACTACTGTACTACTACTATACTAATTTTTTCCTGCTGTAATACTACTATACTACTGTACTACTACTGTACTACTGCTTTACCACTGTAATACTACTATACTACTGTACTACTGTACTCCTGTGCTACTACTTTACTACTGTAATACTACTGTACTACTACTATACTACTGTACTACAACTATACTACTGTACTCCTATTGTACGACTGCAATACTTTACTAAGTACTCTCTATCTACTTACTACTATACTTAATAATTAACCCCATCCCCACATAATCAGGGGGGGGCCGGGAAAAACTTGAACCCATGAACAAGTTCAACCGGGCCAACCTTGACAGCGGGGGGAGGGGGGGGGGGGGTTTGTTAATCCGGACCCAACATTACCCTGAAGCCCACACCCGTAGACCTTACACCCCTAAAGCCTAAAAGCCACGTAGAAGAGACTCCAGAGCCTCAGAGGCCATCGACATGCCCGGTTGCGGCGGTTCTCCGGGGACGAAGCTCAGCAGCCGCTCCGAATTCAACGCAGCCAAGGCGGAAGAACCCCGCAGTTTAGGTTTTAGGGGTTTAGGAGGGTTTAAGGAAGAGGGACAAGCTTAGAGTTTCAGATTTCTGGGCTAAGATTGATGGGGCTGGGGCTTTCGGGTTAAGTAGTACATGGTGTGGCTTTCAGTGTTTGATTGATCACGTGTTTGTCGAAATTTGCCTGCGGTCGGAAGCAGGGTTTGGTTTTTGTGGGTCGGTTGAATGCAGTTCCAAGCACATGCCTGGCGGGGTGCAGGCGTGAAAGTCGAACCCTGAACCGAAAATGCCTACATGGTTTAGGTAGTTTTCGTCCTAACTGGGCTCACTTGTAGATGTCAAGGAAGCAACGCCGAACCTCATGAAGCCGTGCCTGCATGGTGCGAGTGTGCGAGTCGAAACGCCTACGTTGCCCACACCCCAATCCCCAAACTGCAGTAGCCGAAGTTTAAACACCAAAAATCCCCTAAACCCCCCCGAACCCTACATCCGACCCCAGTGTGGCGAGAGGTTGAGGCTTTAAGTCTTAGGAGAATCAAGAATGGACATCACATAACATCATAGAGTACGATATCATATACCACGGTATAGCATCATATCGAATGGTACAGCATGAGGTAGTATGATGTAGTATACTAATGTTCAGTATAGTAGAATGTATCCTGAACCCTAAACCCTAAACCAGTACCAAGCCATGCAGGAGGCACGCTACGGACCTTGCCAGGCTTTGTCCGAGTGTGAGTGTCAAAAAAAACACCTAAATTATAATGCGAGCGCCGAAACCCTAAATTGTAACATGACGTGTTGAGGGCGGGCCGGTGGACATCGCTTGCGGAGTGCTCGATGCCTTGGGCATCGCCAAGGCGGCGCTGGTCGGCTACGCCCCTTTTCTGGTTCAGGGTTTCTTCCCGGCTTGGGGGTTAAGGTTAAGGGGTTGAGGGTTTAGGGGTTTAGGGTTTCGGGGTTTAGGGTTTTTTTTCGGGCTTGGGGGTTGGGTTTATATAGGCGTGGGATTCTGCAGGTTGTTGCGGAAGGCAGGCAGGAAAGTATGAAGGACGAGCGGGTGCATGAGTCACGCGTAAGGCGACGTATAAGTGAATTCCCATACGGTCACGTGCAGGTAAACGTGCACATATACGTTCGTATTCCCATGCATACGCAACACAAGTACATTCCTGCACACACGTAAACCCGAAGCAAAAACACAAAAGCTCCACAGATTCCTTCTTCTTTCGTACAAAGCTGCCCGTGAGTTTTGGGGGTTGTTCCACCAGTCTTCACACCGCGACATATACACACACCTACAAATCCATATACATACGCACATTTGCAGACCTTTACATATACATGAACATACACACATATACGAACATGTACATATACATGCATACACAAACTCTTGTCTATGCAGTTGTAAAAGCACGCGCCCCTGCGCAACATATCATAGCACGCCATCGCCTAGCATTTCACGCCATAGCGAGAACATGACAGAGCCTAGCCTAGCCCATTGCATCGCGCTGCAACGTAGCCTCACGCAGTGTGGCGTAGTAGAACATACATGCACACATGCAAGCAATGGCAGTGCAAACTTGTGAGCAAGGATAGATGCTCACATGCAGACACGCATACATGCATTTGCTGCATGAAAGGCAAACCCAATTTACACATATAGTATACATACTGTATATCGCTATATGTCTATATGACTAAAAGTGTATGTATGTATGGATGTATGAATATGCATGTGTATGTGAGGTTATCTGAGGATATATACATATAGAGATGCATGGTCGTACCGACATGCATACGTCTGCATGTCTGCATGTATGTGTGTACGTGGGGGGCTACCAGTATGACTGTAATGTAATGTAAGCGTAATGTAATGTAATTCAATGCAATGCAATGTAATGTATGTAATGTAATGTGAATTAATGTTTTGTTGTGTATGCATGTATGCCTGCATGTGTGCATGTAGTGTAATGTAACGTAATGTATGTGCAAAGAAAAATATGCCAAGTCATGCTGTGTGCATACGTGTGCATGGAAGAGTCGACAGACGCATACTGTAGCATCCGGCGAACCATGCATTCAATACCAAAAATGGAGTTCCCGTCTCCTCTACATTTCAAGCAGTTGCCTTGAAGGAGAGTCCATACCCCAAACGGGAAGTCCCCAAGCACGCAATTCCAAAGCGCCGCTAAATCTACCCTTCGTTAACCTCCCTGGCGGCAAAGGATTGGGGTGGGGGCATCGTGCTCTCCATGGCCCTGCGGAAGAAGAGCCTCAACTTCTCTTGATGCCCCTTCAGGTTTGCAAGAGTACGAATCCTAAACCTCTGCGGCTCAACCTGCTGCCATCACAGCATGCTTTTCTTCGCACTGGCCCGGCTGTGTATCCTAGACAGACGATCCATTGAAAGCGTTGCTCGGAATGTCGTCGTGTAGTAGGGGCTCATCACGGAGTTCAGCTGAGTTGCTTTTTGCCGACTTGATAAACTCCTTGATCTTTTCTGTTCTGCGGCTGGAGAGGACTCTTTGCCTCGCCTCGAGGGTGAAGGTTGCATAAGGTTGCGAGACTGGAGCCTTAACCCTCAAAGGTTTAAGGTTTGGGGTGTAGGGTTTCCCAATCCCGACAACTTAGGAACCGGATCAGCAAGCTGGTTTCTTTCCACCCTTCCTACACGCCACCCAAGGGCTGCTTGGCAGAAGCCACTTAAAGGGCCAGTGGGGTTCAGGAATGCCACTCAGACGCAGGACTGCGAAACCCTGCATCCAAACAAAGCTTTCGAACTGGGGATCGTTTGAAGCACTTCTATGCAGGCTTAGATTAAAATTGCACAACTGGTACGCACTGCGAAGGTTTTGTACATCCAGGCTTATGAGGGAGGAGCACCGCAAGCCTTGCATCCTCACGGTCCGTGGCTTCCAAGCCATCAAGTCGAAAAACCCTGCAACCCGAACAGCCCCCAAGCCAAGGATCTGAATCTGGCCTAAGGCAGAGCCCCCGAAGCCCCCCCTTCGGATGTTTTGGTGTAGCTTTCAGGATTTCGATGTGGGGTTGGCTTTGCGACGATGAGCAAACCCGGCTCCGGGAAAAAAACATGCAGAAAACCCCACACCCTGCTCGGCGGAACGCACCCGCACCAACCCTGAAGGTGAGAACCTGAGCGCGATGTCAGTGCCGGTGCTTGTCCTGTGGGTTAAGGCAGGCTGCGAGCGGTTGTGGGGGAGACTTCCGGTCTAGGATGTCTCTAAGCATCATCAGAACTAGAAGAAAGACTATGAAGAACAAGAATACTAATAGTGAAAGTAGTGGCAAAAACAGCAATAGAAGCAGTATTCGAAATAATGGTCGTCGTAACAATCATAATGGTTGTAGTAGTCAGCCCGGGTTCAGCAGTAGAAGCAGAGCGGTAGTGGCAGCGCTATTGGTAGTGGCAGTGGCAGTGGTCGTGGTAGTGGTAGGGTAGTGGTGGTAGTGGTAGCGGTAGCGGCAGCGGTAGCGGTAGCAGTAGTGGTAGTGGTAACTCGATCTTGTGAGGGTGAAGGCTTTTGTTGGTTTCGAGCCTGGGCCCAGAAGCCCCGAAACTTTGCAGGAGGACCAGTTCCACAACCTCACCAAATGGCGAAAACACTTCGAGGCCTCATTTCACTCGTCCTTTAGGGTTCAATGCTGAGTGGCCACCTTGAGCACTCAACTCCGAAAGAGGTCAAATTGAGGTCGATTCCGGCCTACGGCTGGGTTATCGAGGTTTTAGAACAGGCTGTCTGGGTGAGTGTCCAAGTTTTGTTTCGGAAGCAGTACCACAGATAAGGACCTTGATCCAGTATAAGTTAAAGCACGACCGGGGTCGAAGGTCCTTGCATAAAGCTTGTCCCATGCCTTTGTCCACACGACGTGAACTGCACAACTACATAGGACCGGGCCCTCAATACTGAAGCCCTAAACCCAGCCACAGCTTAAAGTTGCATGCATAGTTCTTGGCAGGCGAACGACAAGAATCGAGGGACACCATTCATTGGATCAGCCCTTTTATGCCCTCTCAAACCGGGGGATCCAGGCCTCAATCGTTGAGGAGTGTAGATCCTGGAACAGCAGTCCTACACCCAAGTCCTGAAGGCGCTCGCTGCCATTACACAATTACACGCCTACATCCTGCACAGAAGCCCTAGACAACTTAAAACCCTAAACCCTAAACCCTCCTGGATTGTCCGAGTGTGAGCGCCGAAACCCTAAACCCTAAGATATAGATTCGAAAATGCTGTAAACCCCCCCAGCCGGAAAACTCCCAGCACCCCCCTTTCAACAGATCCGAGGCCACAAGGCGAACCAAGCCGGAGAAAAACCTAGCACGTTGTAAACCCCAGTTCCAGCTCAGGGCTTCTTTGCACTGAGGCACTCCCATCCGGAAAGCGAGAACTAGAGGCAGGCGGTGCGTGTTGTAGCTTCGGGTTCACGTTCGTGATCTCGCAGATGGTCAGGCCCCGAATCATCGCGCTGTCCAGCTTGAGAACGCTGTGCTCGCACCTTGATCCTAAAGCCTCAATGCACCTTGGCTCAGGCCTTTGCCAGTCTGCGTTGCCCCTCTGGCCTAGAGTGCTCCACACAATGCCGCGCTCCAGCCGCCCTCTCGTTTGCCTGTCCCTTGTGGCGGCAGGATACGTGGCCACCCAGCTCGCAGCCTTCGTGGCTGCGCCCGCTGCACCGAAAGCTCCTCGAACGCAGCTCCAGGCACGAGGCGGCGGCGAGTACGACGTCAGCGACGCGGACATTGAGTCCTTCTACTCTTCCCTGCTGACCGGCAGTGGAGGTGACCCCCCAAAGGGAACTGTGCTCTCTGAGCTCGTGGTCAAGTTCTTCCACGGCGAGTTCACGCCCCAGGGCTTCAAGCGCTACTCCGGGCTCTGGAAAGGTCCGCCCCCGGGCAGCATTGGCAAGAAGGACATCGCTGTGGGCGTCCAGGGCCTCAAAGCGCAGATGGCGAACCCAATGTTCGTGACCAAGGGTGGCGTTGGCTACGGCGTGGATGAGACACAGAAGGTGGTCGATGACGGAAAGGGCTGGGTGTGGCTGGCAGCTGAGATGAGCCCTGGAGGTCTCGCCCTCGAGCTCTTCAAGTCCGTTCCTTACGGCAAGCGCGCACTCCTCGTGGCGAAGCAGAGCAATGTCGACGAGCTCTTCAACTCCGTGAATTGGGACACTGCGCTGGCCAACGTGGAGAAGACTTTCGGCGGGCCGCAGATCAAGCAGCGGTGAGCCCAGTGCGGGCCACAGGCAGTGGAGCTTGTCGGCCGCATCCAGCGGTGTTGGCGGCCAGCTATTAGTGAAGGTGTCTAAAGTTTCTAAAGCTCCCTACAAATCTTGCGAGCGATGCTCAGCATTGTATTTTTTCCGACAGGATCAGAGGTTTTGCCTTCGCAGGCGTGCAGACATCGTGAACTTGGTTCACCAGGCATAGGCTACAGCAGCGATATGGATGTTGCTCGGCAGGGGGTGCACGGAGCAGCCCCTTGTGCAAAACCCAATTGTTCACTCTTGAAGCCGCCCCGTTTCTTGATGCGGTGGGCCAACAGGTAAGGAAAGGATGACAAAAATGAGAGAAAGCTTTGTGATTTAAGGGCCAGCTCGAGTTATCACATTCCCAGACTCTTTTGACACATGCGTGATCTTTGGAGAGTCCGAGTATGTGCGCCGAAACCCCGCAAGAAACCCATAATTTTGAAACTCAGCCTCCTCAACCCTTCAAAGCCAGGGCTCCTGCATCATGCGACGGAGCAGGAAGAGAAGGCTTGACAACTCCGAAACCCCGTTGAAGCCCTCCTTACAACCCAAAGGCCATACATTGGTTTGAGGGCATACCTGCACTCTTGGCTGTAGAAAGGTTCCATAGACTGAGTGTGTTTGGGCTGAATCACAATCGTCAGGCCCTGAATCATCGCGCTGTCCAGCTTGAGAACGCTGTGCTCGCACCTTGATCCTAAAGCCTCAATGCAACTTGGCTCAGGCCTTTGCCAGTCTGCGTTGCCCCTCTGGCCTAGAGTGTTCCACACAATGCCGCGCTCCAGCCGCCCTCTCGTTTGCCTGTCCCTTGTGGCGGCAGGGTACGTGGCCACCCAGCTCGCAGCCTTCGTGGCTGCGCCCGCTGCACCGAAAGCTCCTCGAACGCAGCTCCAGGCACGGGGAGGCGGCGAGTACGATGTCAGCGACGCGGACATTGAGTCCTTCTACTCTTCCCTGCTGACCGGCAGTGGAGGTGACCCCCCAAAGGGAACTGTGCTCTCTGAGCTCGTGGTCAAGTTCTTCCACGGCGAGTTCACGCCCCAGGGCTTCAAGCGCTACTCCGGGCTCTGGAAAGGTCCGCCCCCGGGCAGCATTGGCAAGAAGGACATCGCTGTGGGCGTCCAGGGCCTCAAAGCGCAGATGGCGAACCCAATGTTCGTGACCAAGGGTGGCGTTGGCTACGGCGTGGATGAGACACAGAAGGTGGTCGATGACGGAAAGGGCTGGGTGTGGCTGGCAGCTGAGATGAGCCCTGGAGGTCTCGCCCTCGAGCTCTTCAAGTCCGTTCCTTACGGCAAGCGCGCACTCCTCGTGGCGAAGCAGAGCAATGTCGACGAGCTCTTCAACTCCGTGAATTGGGACACTGCCCTGGCCAACGTGGAGAAGACTTTCGGCGGGCCGCAGATCAAGCAACGGTGAGCCCAGTGCGGGCCACAGGCCACAGGCAGTGGAGCTTGTCGGCCGCATCCAGCGGTGTTGGCGGCCAGCTATTAGTGAAGGTGTCTAAAGTTTCTAAAGCTCCCTACAAATCTTGCGAGCGATGCTCAGCATTGTATTTTTTCCGACAGGATCAGAGGTTTTGCCTTCGCAGGCGTGCAGACATCGTGAACTTGGTTCACCAGGCATAGGCTACAGCAGCGATATGGATGTTGCTCGGCAGGGGGTGCACGGAGCAGCCCCTTGTGCAAAACCCAATTGTTCACTCTTGAAGCCGCCCCGTTTCTTGATGCGGTGGGCCAACAGGTAAGGAAAGGATGACAAAAATGAGAGAAAGCTTTGTGATTTAAGGGCCAGCTCGAGTTATCACATTCCCAGACTCTTTTGACACATGCGTGATCTTTGGAGAGTCCGAGTATGTGCGCCGAAACCCCGCAAGAAACCCATAATTTTGAAACTCAGCCTCCTCAACCCTTCAAAGCCAGGGCTCCTGCATCATGCGACGGAGCAGGAAGAGAAGGCTTGACAACTCCGAAACCCCGTTGAAGCCCTCCTTACAACCCAAAGGCCATACATTGGTTTGAGGGCATACCTGCACTCTTGGCTGTAGAAAGGTTCCATAGACTGAGTGTGTTTGGGCTGAATCACAATCGTCAGGCCCTGAATCATCGCGCTGTCCAGCTTGAGAACGCTGTGCTCGCACCTTGATCCTAAAGCCTCAATGCAACTTGGCTCAGGCCTTTGCCAGTCTGCGTTGCCCCTCTGGCCTAGAGTGCTCCACACAATGCCGCGCTCCAGCCGCCCTCTCGTTTGCCTGTCCCTTGTGGCGGCAGGGTACGTGGCCACCCAGCTCGCAGCCTTCGTGGCTGCGCCCGCTGCACCGAAAGCTCCTCGAACGCAGCTCCAGGCACGGGGAGGCGGCGAGTACGACGTCAGCGACGCGGACATTGAGTCCTTCTACTCTTCCCTGCTGACCGGCAGTGGAGGTGACCCCCCAAAGGGAACTGTGCTCTCTGAGCTCGTGGTCAAGTTCTTCCACGGCGAGTTCACGCCCCAGGGCTTCAAGCGCTACTCCGGGCTTTGGAAAGGTCCGCCCCCGGGCAGCATTGGCAAGAAGGACATCGCTGTGGGCGTCCAGGGCCTCAAAGCGCAGATGGCGAACCCGATGTTCGTGACCAAGGGTGGCGTTGGCTACGGCGTGGATGAGACACAGAAGGTGGTCGATGACGGAAAGGGCTGGGTGTGGCTGGCAGCTGAGATGAGCCCTGGCGGTCTCGCCCTCGAGCTCTTCAAGTCCGTTCCCTACGGCAAGCGCGCACTCCTTGTGGCGAAGCAGAGCAATGTCGACGAGCTCTTCAACTCCGTGAATTGGGACACTGCCCTGGCCAACGTGGAGAAGACTTTCGGCGGGCCGCAGATCAAGCAGCGGTGAGCCCAGTGCGGGCCACAGGCAGTGGAGCTTGTCGGCCGCATCCAGCGGTGTTTGCGGCCAGCTGGTAGTGAAGGTGTATAAAGCTCCCTAGATGTGAGCGATGCTCAGCATTGCACTTTTTTCCGATAGGATTAGAGGTTTTGCACTAGCAAGCCTCCACACAGCGTGAACTTGACTCACCTCTGACGGGAGTGCAAGGAACTCGAGGCAGGGGGTCTGGTGTCTTGGGGCGGTGTTCATGTGTTACAGTGTTACAGCCAAGTCATTGCATTGTCCAGATTTACAAAACTCTTCTTACATCTAAGTACTGGAGCCTCAGCCGTACCATGGCCACCGTCGCTTTCGCTGAAGATTCTACTCATCTTCAATGCGGGCCATCATGTGTCATAGCTGTCGGTTACTTGTTGGGGTTAGACTTGTGTCTTGGTTTGTTCAGCTGATGCCTGCGCTTGAACTCTCTGCTTCCAATAGACCGATTCTTCCGACTTGTCCGAGTTTCGAGAGCATCAAGCCTCAATGCAACTTGGCTCAAGCCTTTACGACTCTGCGTTGCCCCTTTGGCCTATAGTGCTCCACACAATGCCGCGCTCCAGCCGCCCTCTCGTTTGCCTATCCCTTGTGGCGGCAGGGTATGTGGCCACCCAGCTCGCAGCCTTCGTGGCTGCGCCCGCTGCACCAAAAGCTCCTCGAACGCAGCTCCAGGCACGGGGAGGCGGCGAGTACGACGTCAGCGACGCGGACATTGAGTCCTTCTACTCTTCCCTGCTGACCGGCAGTGGAGGTGACCCCCCAAAGGGAACTGTGCTCTCTGAGCTCGTGGTCAAGTTCTTCCACGGCGAGTTCACGCCCCAGGGCTTCAAGCGCTACTCCGGGCTTTGGAAAGGTCCGCCCCCGGGCAGCATTGGCAAGAAGGACATCGCAGTGGGCGTCCAGGGCCTCAAAGCGCAGATGGCGAACCCAATGTTCGTGACCAAGGGTGGCGTTGGCTACGGCGTGGATGAGACACAGAAGGTGGTCGATGACGGAAAGGGCTGGGTGTGGCTGGCAGCTGAGATGAGCCCTGGAGGTCTCGCCCTCGAGCTCTTCAAGTCCGTTCCCTACGGCAAGCGCGCACTCCTCGTGGCGAAGCAGAGCAATGTCGACGAGCTCTTCAACTCCGTGAATTGGGACACTGCTTTGGCCAACGTGGAGAAGACTTTCGGCGGGCCGCAGATCAAGCAACGGTGAGCCCAGTGCGGGCCACAGGCAGTGGAGCTTGTCGGCCGCATCCAGCGGC